CATTTGGTTGTTTGTCTAAGGATCTGACGTTCGCGTGTGCAGAACCACACTACGAATGTCTGATATATCTGTGCATGTAAATTGGATGCGACCCCGCGCACCAGCTAATCAGAGCCTCCCTTAGAAGTTGTGATGTCACTCAGTCAGAAATTCAGCCAAAGCTGTTGACTGGTCAGTATGCTGCCATATGTTTGTAATATAACAACAGGTTACTGAAGACCCGATGGAAGTTGCGCCCGCTGAATGGTCAGAATCTGGAGGCCAAGATGCAGTTAACGCTTGCTACATGTGCAAGCGTCTATTCCATATACAGTGAAATCTTGATATCTCGATTTAAAAGTCAAACTCTGATAACTCAAAACAACTGTTAAGTCAAACAAAGAATCTATTGCCTTCAGTAATATAACAATGACATACAACCCTACTTAACTCAAAACTCTTCTTAAGTCAAATTTTGAACCTGTTCCCTTGAGGTTTGACTTATCGAGATTTCACTGTATACTATTTGGTTTTGTGTGAAACACCTTACAACTGTGCTCTGTTAAACTCCCCTGCAGTATTATGCAAGTAGGTTTCCCAAATGCACGCATGCATGCAACCAAGAAATAGAGCAAGCTTGTCATTGGCATAACATTTTCTGCTATAGAGGGTGTTTAAAAAAAAAAAGGAAACCCAACTTCAAAGAATGAGTATGGACAGACGATATGTTTACTGACTATAAAACTGGTATCATCTGAAAGCGTAATCTCTATGCTTTTCAATGATACCGTGTTTAGGTTTTCTGAGTCATGCATCACTGAGCATCATTGTCTTGAAAACTGGATGCAAAAATGCAGTTGGTTCACTTTCATAAAAAAAAAAACACACTGGACACGGTGTGCCTATTGTTACGGAAATGTCTGTGAAATGGCTTGAATGCTAATCCTTGGGAAAATGGCACATTGTTTTGAACGTGGCTTGGTCAAAACTAGAAATTCATGACCGTAACAATAAAATCAGTTTTGAAACCAACCCGACTTGTGTTTTGGTTTCTTTTTATGCACTCGTGTATTCTTCTTGAATACCAATTCTCATGCAAACCATGCCTATTGTGTTTGACATGAAAGGGAACTAACTGCAATTTTGCATCAAAATCTCATGACAATGGTGCTCAGTGATGCAGGACCCTGGAAATGTAAACAAGGTATCATTGAAAAGCATAGAGATTACACTTTCAGATGATACCAGTTTTATAGCCAGTAAACATTTAGTCTGTCCATACTGGTTCTTCAAAGTTGGGTTTCCTTTTTATTGAAACACCCTGTACAATCATGGATACTTCGCTTCATATGGTAAGCAGTGTCATGATTCTGGATCGTAGACAAAGTTTCGTGACGTCAAATTTTGATCGGCATTAAGCAAATGCTTGCACACAAAAGTCTAATCACTGCACTGTTCTTCAGTCTTTTGTTACAATTACAGATGTACAATCTGTGCTCTTCAACATGTGTCTCCTGAAAGCACATCTCCAATCTAAGAATGGTTTATTGCCATGTTAGGAATACGTAAAGTACAGTGCAACGCCACTATAACAAACATCGCAGGATCCACAGAAATTGTTCATAATAGCGATCGGTGTAGCGATTGTTAGCTACCGGTGCTCCGGTACTCACTTTTCAATGAATAGCGCCATGAACTTCACCCTGCACACCAGCCCTGGTATACCGTAGTTTGAACAAAAGCCGACTATTGAATGAATTATGTAAAAAAAAATTAGCTTACTACCTACAGCAATGGGTGGCTTTTGCCTTCTATTTCTTGGGGGAAATAATAGCCACTTGTCGCTCTGCCGTTAATATTTTTAACAAGGTTTGTACACAAAATTTGGAAGCCAAGGACGATGTTCGGTGTAGCTGAATGTTCGGTATAGCGGTGTTCAGTATAGCGACGTTCCACTGTAATGTAAACTTCCATATTGGTTTCCAGGGTTACTTTTCTGTAACCAAATAGAGTACAGATAGCCTAATCTTATAATAATAATAATAATAATAATAATAATAATAATAATAATCGGCATTTAAGAACACTCTTATTAGTAAACTAAATCACAGCGCTTACAGTATTATTATTACCCCTGATCATTGGGCCAATTAAACATTCCAAATACCATCTCAGCTCCCTGGGGAGTATACAGCTCGATGCAGCCTGTTAGGCGCAAGGAAGCTAATTCAATCACAATAACCATCTCTGCCCTCATAGGTACCCATTTACTTCTGGGTGGAGAGAAGCAATGAGTGACAAAGTGCCTTGCTCAAGGGCACACGCACCATGACCCCGCCAGGACTCGAACCCACAACCCGCAGCTTTACCCACAGACCACGAATCCAGTGCCCTTAACCACGAGGCCACAGCACGCCATATAATCTTTTAAGAGTAAATAATCTTATAATACGTATACATAATGCATCTTTAAAAACTTTACGATATTATGAAATGGATACATTCAAACAATTAATAAACCATTAACCTGATAATACAAATTATGAACCTCATTTGGACATAAAATCGCTTGAAGTCGCCCAGGTATCTTTGCACTTTCATAAATGAACAGATACATGTATGATTTGCATGTATCTTTGCATGTAGCGTCCATTTTATGTCAAGCTTTAGGGACGGTATGGTCATAACTAGTTCAAACTGATTCAAAGCCTTTTAAAGGGAAAATACAACATTTGCAAACATCGAAAAATAAAACTACCAAGTTAGTTGTTACGAAATACCTTACTAGGATGTTGGTAAATGACATGCTTAAGCATCCTGTAAAATTATGGCACCTGGTGTGAAGCCATTTTCAAGAAAATTGTATATATTTGTCTACATTTCCAACGCTGGTCGGCCGACCACCGTTGGAAAAACCTAACTATTTTTCAATTACTGCACCAAATTTACCATTTTTTTTTAGTCTAAATTTTGTTTTGCTAGCTATTGGTTCCATGCTCATGAACGGGTGCAGGCCAGCTAGACTGGTTCCCTTACCGTACAATTTTCTGGTATGTTTGATCCATTTCATCTTTAGTGGAGTCAGGGAACCAGACTACTTGAATATTTTTGTTTTGCTTGGTTTTTCCAGCATTTTCGAACACAAAACTTCAAACATGTCAGTGTAACAATATTTGATCTATTATACTAACCCCCCAAATAGTTCATTTCTGAAAATTACAGCAAAAGCCAATGATGTACATTCCCTTTAAGGGACTCAATGAAAACCATTAACCCCCACCCCCTTTCATGCCTTGATGACCCGAGAGCAAGTTGGACTGAATTGGTTGCCTACTGGTAGATGGATGACGTATGTCGTGCTTGTGTCGTAATGTTAACCCTATAACTCCCCAGCGTCTTTTACTAGGAAATGGACCAAGTCCATCAAAATCCATCAATCACTGTGTATCCAAAACAAAACTGTACATGACATAACATGGATAATGGAATCCACCACTGACGCACTGGTTGACATTTATGGACTTGCTAAACATGGCTTTTATCACAATAGCAGTACTGGAAGCTAGGCAAAATAAATCGGATTCCCCCCTAACACTGCTTCAGGCCAGAATTAGGCCCAAGTCCATCATACTCCATCAATATTTAGTCACGCTAGTCCTTCTGGACCAAGTCCCCCAAAATCCACCAAAATGGGGTGATGGATTTTGATGGAGTTGGGGTGGTTAGGGTTGAAGGATCACACAAGTTCTTGGTCCTTCCTGACTGCAATACATGTGCACTGTGGTGTGTACGGATATTGGTAACCACTGATGCAATCAACCTTGGTAGGCTAGTCCCTAATAGTATACTACACAAGTCCACTTTTGATTGGGGTCTACCCGATGTTCCCAAATACCGATGTTCCCCAAAATTCTTAGGGTTAGGGATGGGGAACATCGGTACTGGGGATCATAGGTATTGGGGAACATAGGTATGCACCCCTTTTGATTAAGTAATGGTACTAAAATAAAGAATGAAAGAAGTCAAATCCTACCACGTTTGTTGATGGTGTAAGTCGAGCATATTCTTTTGTTCCTCTACCCTATTCCTTTGTTTGTAATATTTAGCAACAGCTCTCATTCATTTTGTACACGTTTTCTCATCGAGGTGGTCCTCGATGTGTGTCCTTGATTTACACCATAAACAAACCCATGCATCTTTGTTTGTGGGGACCAAAGTTGCTGCGGGGAGACGGAATCGAAAGTCCCCCAACTCCGTCCATTTCTACCCTGCGAGAAAAGCTCCCCCACTACGTGGTCCCTTAGCCAACCCACACAAACCAAAGTATACTCATGCACGCAGATCTGTGCCTTAATTATACTGAAGAAATTTTACTAAGCAAAACAAAAAGATCTTTTGCATTACAGCCATCTTTGAGGTGTGGCAATTTTATTGCACAGGGATACGCACTGTTATATTCAAGTAAACTTGTATCCTCGATTCTGATTGGTTGATCCATGGCAACAACAGTGTGCTATTATACAAATAACGAATGTTTGTGAGTGCGATGGTAAGAATAATTTCATGAGGTGACAGATTGAATGTTCTATTCCACGAGGCGAAGCCGAGTGGAATAGAACATTCAATCTGTCACCGAATGAAATTATTCTTTCCATCGCACGAACGTAAAACATTCGTTATTTGTTTTATACAACACCTGAATAAATTCTCGTCATTTGATTGGTAAATTATAAACTACAATTTGCTTTGATTTTAAAGATGTTGAACTACCCCTTCACGAAAATGTTTGAACCCAACGCTGTAAGGCTGGCTCTTTGGAACAATACGCGCTACGCTGAACGCGCACACCAGCATGCATTTTGCACGCAAATACCGCGTCATGGAACAAGCGCAAAGTGAAACGGTATAACGCATGGGTATAACGCATGGTCGCACCGTGCATTATACCGAATAATAATATGTCACATGATCTACAATTCACCAATCAGATGACGGGGATTTATTCAGGTGTTGTATAATATACCGTATCGCATGGTCCATATCGCACCCTGCGTATTGCGCTATTCCAAAATTCGAGCGACATTCCAGCTGCATGCGCTAAACTGCGTCATCCAACTGTACTGTGTGTCAAGTTTGCTTGAAGATAAACTCATTATCACGCTCCCGCTCATGGAACACGGAAAATGTAGTGCATCCGTGTTCACATACCACTCCGACGAAACAGACGCACTACATTATTCCGTGTTCCACTCGCGCTCGCGGGATAACTTGTAGTATACCTCTTGTTCATCTTCTGTTACTGAATAAGCCAGTTCAGTATTCAGGGGTTGCTTCTGTGAGATGACAAGCTGATGTTATGGACTTGATGATGAGGATTGCACTAACGGAAGAATGAAAGCTTTTCCTTAATGTACTCCTCCGTCAACTCTTCTACATTCCGAATCTCTAAAACCTGTTAAGAAAAATTGTACATGTATTGTTTATGATAGACCTTTCGCAGGGTCGCCATCTTAAAATCAAAGCGAGGCATATAACGCCAACAAACATTGCGGTGTAAATAGTGTGTGCGGTGAACAACTTGTCGGGTTCCTGGAAGAAGGGTGTGAGGGCGATAAATGGGTCAAAATGTCAAATTCGGATTTTTCAGGTAATCGATAGAGCTTGGAAATCTCTTTCATTTGAAATACATATTGTCTCAATCGGCTACGTCATTCTGATGTAATTAACAGTAAACAAAGGACGGAAGAAGGTTTTTCATTAGTTGTGCCCGACAAAAGGTCGTAAGGGTGTTATTCTAATTTAACAAATAATGTTCGAAGCGCCCTAACGTCCCACTCAAGCGGGTACGCAAAGCGAAATTTGTTCCCGGCAAAAAAGGACATAAGGATTTAACATGCCACTTAAGCGTACGTTTAAGGCTTGGGAAGTTCCCAGTAAAAGGTCGTTAGCATAAAAATTGAAATAACTTCAAAATTAAGTAATATTTTGACATAAAAATGCACCACATTATTTAAATCATTAACGAATGTCATCAGTAAACATTTCAACCTTATGTGATTTTTAATCTAGAAATGGCAGCACAAAACCTTTCAGCTCGATTATCTCCAAAGGTGCTTTTTGCGTGCCTGGGCTGCTTACCTCCTTTTTCTTGTTACACGACGAACTGGCTCTTATAAATGACAATCTTATAAATTGACAGCTAGTTTAAATTAGATCATGTGTCATTGCAATTTGAAGAAGGATCTTATCATAAAGAAGCCTACAACTGTGTCTGTGTAGTAGGCTAGGCTAGTTAACGCAGCTGCAATGCTGTCAACCGCGACCGTACAGACTCCATATTTGCACTTTCCATCTGTGGCGTTTTCTGAGCTGAAATTGCATTTGTTTGGAAGGAAGTGCTTACATTTACACAAAAAAGAGGAACTGGAGGCCAATACAAACATGTAACATTTGTCCTCCATGCAGAAAATATCTTAACGATTGTGCACTGCACCCTGACTTGTTTACATGCAAAATGACACGGGCCTTCAAGACACCCGTCTGCTCTACTAATAGACAGGTGTCTAAAAGGCCTGGATAATTTTGCACGTAAATGAGCCGGGGTACGATACAGTTCCTCTTTTTTTTCTGGGAAATGATGGGTCCTGTGAGAATGGCACAGCTAGATAGCCTGATAATATAAGTGCTTTATACCAAACAAATGCAATTTCAGCTCAGAAAACGCCACGGATGGAAAAGTGGAAAAAGACAGTCTGTACGGTTGGTGGTGGTGCTGCAGCGTTAACTCAGCTACACGGAAACTTCAGTTCAGCCACTGTTTTAGGCTTATTTATTATCCTTCTTCAAAATGCAATGAGACATGACCTACCTAGAATACTGATTGATGTTTTGGGGAATTTTAGCTATGCTATAAGATTGTCAATCTCCTGTAACTTTGCAAGAGTCACGGATGAATGCCCAACGCCAGCAGGGAACAATTAGTATCCTTGACTAAACGACTTGTGAGGCATGACTATATCTTTTTAAACACAATGTGCATTTTCAAAATTAACAACCAATGTAATATTTGTTTTTATCAAGTAATGAAACCATCTATTATTACTTTAAATCATTGAAAATGGTGCATGAACAACATAAAATCCTGAATTGCGGGAACCTAGATCCACATGTGCAGTGTGCATACACGGTGTATTTGTGTCTGTACGTCTAGAGCCCGCAATTCAATGGCCCCTATCAACTGCACAGTGCCCGAACAAAGTGCGGGTTATTTAATTTCACGTGCCCCATGCATACACGCACGGTGCGATTGATATTCCCTGCTGTTCGTTTTGGGCAGTGTCACATTGTCACGCAGCAATTTCCACGCAACTCGCATACTCTTTAAATTTGCAACTTTTCAAATCGCATCATTTTTCATAAACCGTTGTCAGTGTTGGACAATTTACAGTCGTTGGTAGCAAACAGGGTATCAACATGTAGCTAACAACATTCCCCGTAGGTCTATATATATAAATGACGTTATCATAAGACAATCAGATTCAAAATTGTGACCCCACCAATGAGTGTGGACTTTCTTTCTTTTTTTCTTTTTTCTTTTTTTGCGGTGTTTATGATGAATATGGTCCCACACAATGATGTACCTTTGTAACGCCAGACGCCTGTTGAAAATTAAGTTTGCTTCCAGCGTACATCATCTGCTGCTCTGGTTTACATCCTGGAAAGAGCGAAAAACATTAATTCACGGTGTTAATGTTGTTGAAATTTCCACCTGTGACCTCCTGCACACCATAATTGCACTCTGCCTATTGAATTCTCAAACCCTTTTGTTGGCAATCTGCCAGTTAGTCAATATCTTTGTTCATTGGGCACTCGGTAGAATCTATATACTCTGACGTTGCTTTCATTTAACCCTAAAAGGGCGGGGAGGGGGGGGGGGCGGCGGAATCCACCTCGTTATCATTTCCGAGACAGCCTTGAATTTGTTTTTTTTTTCGCGACCCGAGCTGTTATGACTTTTTAGCCTCGAGCATTGCGCATCCTTTCATACCAAAAACATAAAATTCGGACCATACAATTTTTTCCGGCGCTACGCGCCGTGAAAAACAAACTTTCCCATATACGACGTGTACACCGAGCACGATTACCATTCGCACATATCAATAATTAATTACCCATAATTCCAAAACCCTTTGACCTATAGACATGAAGTTTCTTGGGTATGTTCATGATGAGTTGCTCTATGCATGTACCGAGTTTCAAAAATTTCCGTCACTCGATGGCCGAGATCTTGGGGGGGGGGGGCGGCAGCCCCACCCCCGGCTGAGCGATGGCCAAAATAACCCGGCCCTTTTAGGGTTAAACCTGATCTTCTTCCTCTCTGTGGTTTATATGAGGATTTGTAACATAATATAACTTTTGATGAGGATTTGGTTTTCAGGAATTACAGGGATCCGTCATTCACAACGAAAACAATTGGTGCTGGATTACAAAAAAAAAATGAAAAACATAAAGGCGAATGCAGTACCTGATGGAGACAAAAAGATGAAGAGGAGTGGGTAGGAGGTTCGTCCATCGTCGTGTTTATAACAATAGCTGAGGACGACGTAGCGCGGCTGGCTGGTGGGTAACTCTGCCTGCAACTCATCAACTGACATGTCCTGATAATATTGTGGGAAATTGAATTAAGGAACATTGAAGATAAATAAGGGAATAAATGTGTGCTTGGGAGGTGTTACATAGTATGTTTAAGACTGGTTGGAGCCCAGATGCTGCTAATCACCCGACCTTTTCGGTAAAAAAAAAAACCTTTTCAGTCCAAAACAAGTCACAAATTAAAAATTTCCAATGATTTTGTTCAACAAGTTTACTTCGTGTTTTTCGAAACACCCCTATAATGGAGTGTCCAGCTCAAGAGTAAGACATAAACAACTCTTTTTATGGAGAGCACGCACTGTGCGATGACTCGCAGATGCAGCTGTGGTGAGTGCGTTGTGAATTTAGGACTATAAAATACTGACTCACTGGTAGTATTGCGCATGCCTACGTGAGGATTGTGAACATTCGACTAATAAAACGGTAAAAGGCACTGGAGTTCAAAGGAGTCCAAATTTCATGTAACACTGCAAAAGTGTTTAAGACCAGCCAGCCATGTCTTTATCATCCGTTTAAAACCGACAGAGATGCCACCAATATACCAATAAAAAGCTTGTAACACTACTAAAAACCTGAAACTACCCTACCCCCTTTCAAAAAGATAGCATTTAATAAAGCTTTGTTCTGGTTTTTTTTTTGGAAGATGGAGAAGTTTACACATTTAGATGTGGCCATAATTCTTTTCAGTCTGACTTTTAATTTGTTTTCAATCATTCAAAAATATTAAAGGCTTACTTCAAGTTCATCCTCCAGGACTATCACCTCGTCTTTGATTTTAACTGAAACAAAATCAAAGGTAAAACAAGTCAGGTGTGTTTACAAACACAAATGCCCCGCAACGGTGACAGTTCCCATGACATAACACCACTCTTTTAACATCAACTTACATGTACCTTGGTCACATGGAACATTCATTGACAGCATTAGTGTCTTCTGTAGGTTTTATATGAATTAATCCCTATAATCTCAGAATAAATACATGATTTCTATTGTTTTAGCCACTGTGAACTTGACCCTTGACCTTTTGGCCCCAAATTCAATAGGCTTCTTAGGATTACCAAGAAAAATCCACAAACCAAATTTGAAGTTCATATGTTAAGTATTTCTCAAGTTATCGCGCTGACAAGATTTCTATTGTTTTAGCCACTGTGAACTTGACCCTTGACCTTTTGGCCCCAAATGCAATAGGCTTCTTAGGATTGCCAAGAACAATCCACAAACCAAATTTGAAGTTCACATGTAAAGTATTTCTCAAGTTATCGCGCTGACAAGATTTCTATTGTTTTAGCCACTGTGAACTTGACCTTAGGCCTTTTGGCCCCAAATGCAAAAGGCTTCTTAGGATTGCCAAAAACAATCCACAAACCAAATTTGAAGTTCACATGTAAAGTATTTCTCAAGTTATCGCGCTGACAAGATTTCTATTGTTTTAGCCACTGTGAACTTGACCTTTGGCCTTTTGGCCCCAAATGCAAAAGGCTTCTTAGGATTACCAAGAACAATCCACAAACCAAATTTGAAGTTCATATGTTAATTATTTCTCAAGTTATCGCGCTGACAAGATTTCTATTGTTTTAGCCACTGTGAACTTGACCTTAGGCCTTTTGGCCCCAAATGCAAAAGGCTTCTTAGGATTACCAAGAACAATCCACAAACCAAATTTGAAGTTCATATGTTAAGTATTTCTCAAGTTATCGCGCTGACAAGATTTCTATTGTTTTAGCCACTGTGAACTTGACCTTTGGCCTTTTGGCCCCAAATGCAAAAGGCTTCTTAGGATTACCAAGAACAATCCACAAACCAAATTTGAAGTTCATATGTTAAGTATTTCTCAAGTTATCGCGCTGACAAGATTTGTCCGGACACACACACACACCCACCCACCCACACACCCACCCACCCACCCACGGAAGGACAAGGCGGAAACAGTATGCCCCTTCGGCTTCGCCGCGGGGCATAAAAAAAGTTATTTAATTTGCAAAATTGATATATATGGCATTTTTATCTGCCCTAGTCCAATCATAGCAGATTTGTTGAAATCATTTAATTGTGATCAAATTTGGAAGATGCCGGACACTGATATAGCCAAACAAAAAAAGATGTTTAGCGTCCCCGCCCGCTTCCTTTTTGGAGGCCCCTCCTTTTTTTTCTTCTTTTTTTTTAAATCACGAAAAAATGATACATTTGAAATGTGACATCATTCTGGCCTCTTTGTCTGTTGCATCTAGCCCATATAAAGCTGGTATAACGTATGTCATTCCTCAGTCCAAGTGGCGGCCATTTAATAAAAAATAGCTGGCAGCCATCAGGCGGCCATTTTGGAAGGGAAAAAAAAGGCCTCCTCTTTGCTTTTTTTTCAAAAAGGCAGGACGTTAAAGATGTTTTTTTTTATTTGGCCTTATATGTGCACATGAATGTGCCAGGGGTTTGTGCACAAACTACTGTTTATTATGCCATCGACTGTTTATTTAAAGGGAATATACAACATTTGCAAACATCGAAAAATAAAACTACCAAGTTTTTACGAAATACCTTACTAGGATGTTGGTAAATGACAGTCTCAAGCATCTTGTAAAATTATGGCACCTGGTATGAAGTTATTTTCAAGAAAATGGTATTTTTGTATACATTTCCAACGGTGGTCAGCCGACCAGCGTTGGAAAAACCTAACTATTTTTCAACTACTGCTCCAAATTTACCATTTTTTCAGTCCAAATTTTGTTTGCTATTGGTTACATGTTCATGAACGGGTGCAGGCCAGCTAGACTGGTTCCCTTGCCTCACAATTTTCCATCATCTATAAATTGATCCATTTTATCTTTTGTGGAGTCAGGGAACCAGACTACTTGAAAATTTTTTTGTTTTTCTTGGTTTTTCCAACCTTTTCGAACACAAAACTTCAAAAATGTCAGTGTTACAATATTTGATCTATTATACTAACCCCTCAAATAGTTCCTTTCTGAAAGTTACAGCAAAAGCCAATGATGTACATTCCCTTTAAGCACATATGTGCAGCTGATCTAGTTTCTACAGGCTATATTCACGAGTCAACCATATCAAATTGAAAGCAAGGTATAATCTTCGTTTTTGGAAAATGTGCGAATAGAAATGAAAGCAATGACATCAAGTTAATTACAAATTTGTACCAGTCTGCTCCAATTTAAAAATTGTGATTAAACCTACCCTAAGGCCAAAAAAAAAAGTCTCCGGTTTCTGGTATGGAGCTTGCCTCAAAAGTGGTGCGGCAACACGGCTTTTTTTTTTTTTTTACCCGATTTTTTTGCTTCAAATGTCGGCTGATGACTGCAAATGGTGCCCGACTAAACTTAGTACAAATAGGCCTATATGGGATTGGGAGTCCAGAGAGGCCACATAAAGCTTATTCTCGACCATAACCCCACCTAAAAACACGTTAAAATTGTGCAGCAGCAGAATTCCAGTCAAACCAGTGAGTTTGGCGGTTTTGAGACATCATCTTTCATTGAAAAAAAAACTTTTTCATTTTGCCGACGCGCATGGCTACGGTGACGTGCGCGCATACCAGAAACTTTTTTTTTTTGGCCTAATGTTTTAAGCCACATTTTAGGAAAAATGAAAGTGAGGCTTGGAATGCATCAGTCTAGCACCGTCCCAATCAACAGGCATGCAAACTGAATTCCCCCCCCCCCTCCCCAAGATTCCCCAAGATGGCGGATTTTCCAAGATAGCTTCTGATTTCTTGACTCTTTGCCGATACAAAATTGTGTGCAAATCAGCCGTGACCCTTTCTACTCTTTTGTTCGAAACTATAAAAAGACAATGTACTATAAATTTACAAAATAGTGGTAAAAAGTATTGCAAAAAAAAAAGGGGGCAGTTGGGAAAAAAAGAAGTGGGCGGGGCGAAAAGCTGTTTTACTCGGCCTTTTATCCAGATTTGAGGTTGAGAGGAAAAGGGATAAAATAGAAGCATGTTCTGAAAATGCCCTTGACATTTACTTCAGCTTTTGGGGTTTTTTTCTAACAAGGGGAGGGGGGTAAAAAAAAGGAAAAGAAAAATGTTGCCAGTGTAACCCTAACCCCCTAGTACTTCCTCAGGTCTACCCTGCTAAATCCAATAGAATCCAACCGGACTTTCCTGCTCAATCCACTGTGCCTCATTTTCAGTTGCCTGCTGAATCCAACATTTTGCATGAGGAATGTACACAAGGGGTTAACTGCTCAATCCAACGGGTTCCATCGGATATGTGACACAGTTGGATCCTGTTGGATTCAGCAGGGTTAGGGAGTTATCCCCAACTTTGCAAGAACTATTTACTCATAAAAATTATTAAACGCACTACTTACAAATCAATGCACTATTTGTCTTTTCCTTTCTGAATCGTAGCTTCTTCAATTTGTCTGCGACGCCTTCACCCAATTCACACACTTTTAAATTTTGCGCCTGCAGTTTGATCACAAACAAAACAAGAAAAGCACATTTAAATGCCCCCCAACAGTGGCGTAGCAAGGTCATTTTAATTTGGGGGGTAAACATTTCTTGAAATCAGGTGCAGACAATATCAATAGGTAGTAACTATAATTGTAATAATTTAGGAGAACAATATGGGGGCACCCCCCCCCCCAAAAAAAAAACTCGCCAATTTATTTTTTTAAGTGACGTCGCAATAAAAAAAAGGCAGGCATGCACTGTGCACACCCACCATCTTTTCCTCAAAAAGATTTGAAGTGGTCAGAAATTGCTTCAGATCGCGCCACCATGACAAGCATCTAACATTACTCATTAGAATCCGAAAAATTTGGGGGGCCATTAACTTAAGCGCCGAAAACCCCACGCCATAATTTTTGGGACCACTTTTTAAATTTATAATTAGGATTTAGGGAACCAAATTTTTTAGCCCCCCCCCCCCCCTAGCTGGAGTTACCCAGCCCTAAACTTTATCATTGGGTTCCTAAATGACAACCCAATGATAAAATTTAGGGCTGGGTAACTCCAGCTACCCCCCCCCCCCCCCCCAAAAAAAAAATCTGGATCCGCCCTTGGAGTTGGACTGGAAAGACTGGGTCACCGCCCCCCATGGCATGCCCAACATGCCCATCACACGCGGCATTGCCTTGTTCGTGCAACTGCAAAGTGCAAGTAACTTGACCCTACTTATCGCCTTTTTAAACATTCGGACATGATCTAGCGTCAGTAGCACTAGCAAACACATAAGCATAGGCTTAACATAACAATAACATGAAATGTTGCAATGATACACACCATCCTAGTTTCTTCCTTCGAAGTTCGAACTGTACAAATGCAATTTGGGACCAGGGTGAACGTAGGTCGTGGCCAAATTCTGCTAAATGGATTTCAAAAATCTGTCAGAATGATCAAAAATCTGCCAAATTCCCAAGAATTACTCGAAATACACTATAAACACTTAAAATCGCGTGCAGATGTTGTAGTATTGCCTTAATTAAGGTTCAAATTAATTATAAACAATCTATAGTCACATAAAGATGTTATGAAATTGCGCAAATTTTTGACAAAAACACTGTTGCGTCACGATGAAGTCCCCAGTGAGTGAACCTTGGCATTCTACCTCCATGATCCAGCCAAGTTGTGCCACTGATTATGCAAGTGTTTGTTTGAAAAGATTTAAGCTTTTTTAAACAAATGTACCATTTTTTTTTTCAAATTTACTATGTTTTTCTGTCAAACAACCATTTGCAGAATTCTGCCAGAAATCTGCAAAAAAATCCATTCTGTCAAATATTCTGTCGTTTTTTAACAAAAGATCTGTCAAAGTTAGCCGAAAATCGGCTAAAACGGTCACCTTGTTTGGGACATGAGGTAGGTAGGTGGAACCCGGAAGGACGTTCAGATTGTGCGCTAATAATACTGGCTATGACTATTCACCATGAAGCTGTAGCCGCAGGCTGTAGCCCATTCGACACGGCTTCTGACTGTCGCTGTCACGCCCCAACTATCGCATCGGTCCCAACTATAGTTGGGCCTGTCCCAACTATAGTTGGGCCTGTCCCAACTGTAGTTCCACAGTTGGGCTGGCCCAACTATAGTTGGGCCTGTCCCAACTATAGTTAGGACGGTCCCAACTGTAAGTTCCACTGTTGGGCTGGCCCATCTATAGTTGGGCCACTCCGATCTTTTTATTTTGCGGTGTCCCAACTATAGTTTACATTGATGTACAACTGTAAAACGTTCCCTACAGCTCTGATACACGTCCGACTACAGCTCTGATACACGTAAGATGTTTTTTTTCAACTCGTTTGTATGTTTCATTGCTTACTTGTTTATCACTTATTGTGTTTCTTACTGAATTATTTTATTTATGCTACTTTTTTATTTTCATTTAAATTCATTTACATATTTAGCAGATATTTATTTACCCATTTTTTTATTCATATATATTACCCTCCATTATTAAAGCATTTTTAATTTCCAGATTTATTTTTAACTTCTCATATTACTTGTATATAATAGATTTATTTTAAAGTTATTTCATGTTACCAACCTAGGATTGGATGAACAGGCTTTTGAGTCACAGTGTTTTCACTTTTGTTCATCCTGGCCATCTTAGATTGGATTGTCTTTACTCTGCTTGTTGAACTCCCTCCCACTTCCACTCTTCCCCAATCCGCTCCCCTTCTACATGTATACATTCCTCATCCCCACCCCCAATTCTTCCCCATCTCATTCTTACCTACTGTACCTATACACATCTATTCTTTTTGATTGGTATTTGTTACACAATTTATCTTTCATCTTGACTGTCCTTGATGTATGACATTTCTTACATCGTATGTACATGTACATGTTTGTATTTTGAATGTTTTGGCCGAATAAATAATAATAATAATAATAATGACTTTACTGGGGACCACTGAAATTAGCTATTGATGGGGCGAATCTATAGTTGGGCCACTCCAATCTTTTTATTTTGCGGTCCCAACTATAGTGTACATTGTTGTACGATTATAAAACATTCCCTACAACTCTAATACACATCTGACTTTACTTGGGACCAATGAAATTATCTATGGGTGGGGACCATCTGTAGTTGGGCCACCGCAATATTTTTATTTGGCGGTCCCAACTATAGTTTACATTGATTTACGACGATTATAAAACATTCCCTACAACTCTAATACACATCTGACTTTACTTGGGACCAATGAAATTATCTATGGGTGGGGACCATCTGTAGTTGGGCCACCGCAATATTTTTATTTGGCGGTCCCAACTATAGTTTACATTGATTTACGACGATTATAAAACATTCCCTACAACTCTAATACACATCTGACTTTACTTGGGACCAATGAAATTATCTATGGGTGGGGACCATCTGTAGTTGGGCCACCGCAATATTTTTATTTGGCGGTCCCAACTATAGTTTACATTGATTTACGACGACTAATGTAAAACATTCCCTACAGCTCTGTTACATACTGTCCGACTTCACTTGGGACCTTTGACATTAGCTATGGGTGGGGCCCATCTATAGTTGGCCGGCCATGGCAATCTTTGAATTTTGCAAAATGTTGCTGGACAATCAACCCAGCAGCTGGACAACTCATCCAACTAGGCAGTACCACGTGACCGGTCAGCCTTGCGGCATGCATGCACGACGAATACACGGTGCCAGCGCCGCGGAACATTTAATCCAACAAGATCTATCAAGCATGAAGCATCCGGCGCAACCGGTCCTAACTATAGTTGGGCCGACCCAACTGCCGCACTATAGTTGGGACAGTCCCAACTATAGTTGGGACCGATGCGATAGTTGGGGCGTGACATCACGACTGTGATGTTTATTGTTTTGAAATTATTTTTAGAATCAGGTCGGATGCCCAAACGTTAAACGACATGATTGATACAGCCTGTATGACACGGGAGCCGACTATTTTCTGAACGCAATAGGCTAAAGAGGGCGCTGTTTTCTATTTTCGCGCCGAATTCGACACGTGAAGAATTTTCCCGGGAAACACACTGTCCGACGCGCGCACACATAGTACATACAGGTCTATGTGACAAGGGCACAGGCATTTAAATCGGCGAACCAGCAGTGGACTGAAAGTAAAGTTGGCTGAGGGAGAAATTTTCCTGTTTTGAATAGAAAGATGTCTGGTTTTGATAATCAAGGGGTCTTTTACTCCGATAATTTTGGATCGGAGGGAATTCAGGAAGATGGGCAAGTTAATCGCATGGCTGTGCAGCGTCGATTTAAAGATTTTCTTCGAAAATTTCACGATGCAAACTTCACGTACAAATACAGGTAGGGTTAAATCTCATCTGGTGTCTTCGAATGAATGTTTGGCTACCTAAAACTTAAAGTTTCTTTTGTTTCTTTTAAGTTTTATTAACACATATAGGGTTTTGTCATTTTTATCAGCCTTTTTTCACCCCTTTTTCCATGTTTTATCAGTTCTTTTCCCATGTTACCAGCCCTTTTTAATATCAGCCCTTTTTTTCGGATCTTTTTACTTGGATGGTAATTCCTATTGTCTTTAGTCATGTTACATTGTCATGATTGTTAGTCCTGTTTATACAGTTCTGTGGGTGGCCATTGTTTTGGTGTGGAGGGGGTCTTCTCGATATTTCCGAGTTTTGGGGTTTTGTTTTTTCATTTCAGTCATGTCAGTTATCAATATCGATTTTTATCTGTACGGTTGTATATTACCTTAATTTTAATCACATGAATCAGGGGTAGGCATGGTAGGCCTATGGATGAGCACATCATTTGATGACAGTTTTTATACTTTTGTTTATTCCATGACAGCCCCTGCTTACATTTTAGATTGTATTTTTGAACTGTCTAAAGATTTAAAATAAATAAATAAAATAAATAAATAACAGTTAGCTAGCTTTATGGAGATTGCCTAGCGGGTAAGAACACTGGACTCATTCTCTGGTGTTTCAGAGGCAACAGTCATGACAGTGGCGTGGGTTCAAGCCCGCGCCCGGACACGTGCCCTTGAGCAAGGCACTGAACCATTATTGCTTCGTCCTTAGGATGGGACGTAAAGCTGTGGGTCCCGTGTGTTGTATAAATGCACGTAAAAGAATCAACATTGCAGCAAACACTTATCGCTAAGAAGAGAGGGGTTCGCCCTTGGTGTGTTCATCAGATTTACAACTTTTGGTACTTTTCAGGTCATAAAATAAATATGAGTGGTGGCCGGGTGTGGAATTCTTTCCTTGTTATTATAATCTTGGATTTTTTTTTCATTCAGAGATGAGCTAAAGCGACACTACAATCTGGGCCAGTTCTGGCTGGATGTAAATCTTGACGATGTGGCCAGTTTTGATGAAGATCTGGCTGATAAACTCAAGAAAAATCCTGCAGAATTTTTGCCATTTGTAAGTTGTAAATAAATGTCCACAGTATGCACCAGTTTCAATTGGGGGTTTATGGTGGCCACTTTTTTGCATTAGTACAGGGATGCCAATTTTCAGGTTTGGCCTGAATTAAGGCTTTTTCATGATTTGGAAAAACAACATCCCTTCACATAGTCTTAATGTCACCCGTTGTCCAACGGAGCCTTCTCCGTATCCAACATCTGATATGAGCAATGCAAATTTTATGCAACACCCGCGCCAGCCAATCAGAGTGGATTTTAGAATTGTGACGTCATTTCGATCAGAAGTGTGGACTAAACTTTTGATTGGTCAATTTGGCTGACCTGTTTTTGTAACACAACAGGTTCCAGAAGACATTGAAAGTGGTGATTACTTCCAAGACTTTGTATTTGTTGAGAGACAATCTCTGTTGATGTATACCCAAGTACTCCTCTTAAATAGGAGAAATGCAATAAACAGCTATTGGGGAAGGACATCGGTTTGAATCTATTCTCAACTTTGAACATGAAAGGTTACCAGAACAAACTGTATTTCTGTTTCCTCAGAGGACATATAAGAATTACTTGATACAAACCTGTAACCATGGTAACTCGCTAATGCGGGTGACACCCCCAACCGCTTTGAACGATGATAGAAATGTAGGTTTTTAGATTCCAGTTATTTCATTTTCATATCTCTAAAATGACTGGTCTTTCTTTTCGATTGCTTTATCTTCAGTTTGAGGATGCGGCTAAAGAGATGGCGGACGAGGTCACCAGGCCACGCCCAGAAGGGGAGGAGGGAGTCCAGGAGGAAGTGGAGGATATTCAAATTATGTTGAACTCCGAGGCTAACCCCATCTCCATCCGAAACCTGAAGGTAATGAGACCCAAGTCATACCTGTACGCCTTGGCCAGGTTTGGTGAGAGCACTATCTGTGGGCTCCTTCAACGGCCAGAGAAGGAGAGTTAATTGGGGGAGACCTAGACTGGTTCCCGGTCCATCCACTGCAGATTTCAAATGATCCAAAGTTATTGGGGGCTGAGATACCATCACAAGTTAAATTTGAATGTATTCGCGCGCCAACCACACCTAATGCTCGCGCAAAGATGCTGTGGCTAATAGCTTTGGCACATTCAAGAAGTCATGCGTACTATGCGCGAACTAGTACAGTACAGTATGCACTCGCTGTGTGTCCCGTCCACTGGGCTCTCAAAAGAAGTAAAAATGCACCCTCTTTTGTTGGCGCACGGAGCCCATAGTCCATCGCAGTGCCGCAGTTGTATTGGTGTAATGCCAAACTACGCGTAAAGACTGAGTGCACTGGTGCAGTTGACCGAGCTTATGACGTTTCCAAGCCATTGCTAAGATTGGCGGGGCTTATGACCAATCCCGATCGGTCATTGTTCCATCTAAAGTATGGCGGCAGCGCGTCCATGTCGGCACGTCCATGGGTGCGCGTAATATGCCGAGTGTGTTCTCTATTTATTTTTTTTAAAAATATAACTCTATGAATGGGCAAAAGTGGTTTGAATGTAGACACAAAGGCTTGAGATTGAAAGTAGAAACATTTTAGTGTCTTTCTTTAATAGAAGAATGCGCCTGATGTGACTGCGTATTTGACAGAAATGGTGCTTAAACTCCATTGTTCATGCAAATTATGCAAAGCAACTTTTGACATACCGTTAACATTTACATTGAAATTTGCATTCACTTTTGTGCTTAGTATGAACCCCTTTTAAGAATCTGTCAATAAGTGTTGCATATTTGTAACACTGACTGAGCATTTACTCGTGGCGTCACTAGTGAAGTCACATTCCTGTCAAAATAAAGTTAATTTTATGACTATTTGTTGTCCACATTGCAGTCTGACCAGGTGTCTCGCCTGATCAAGATACCGGGCATTGTTATCGCTGCATCGGCCATCAGGGCTAAGGCAACCAAGATCACCATTCAGTGCAGAGGCTGTCGTAACTTCATCCCCAAGCTGTCCGTTAAACCAGGACTGGAGGGGTACACCATGCCGCGCAAGTGTAACACGTAAGTGCATTAAGATCTTTTCAGTCGATGTATACAGCAAGCCGACAGTCTCTTTCAACAAATGGCGACTGCTCAATGTTTATCATGCATTGTGTGAATTCCTTCAAATTATTGGCATAACTAGAAGTCAAAAAGTTACAATGTACCGTCAAGGGTTTTAAGTGTGTTTTGTTTTTTCTGAGGAATTTTACATTAGTTGTATGTGCTATTTTTTCCGTCAATTCATTTTTGGTATTTCTTGACAGTTTTTTGAAGGGGTAAATTTTTATGCCCCGCGGCGAAGCCGAAGGGGCATACTGTTTCCGCCTTGTCCTTCCGTGGGTGGGTGTGTGGGTGGGTGGGTGTGTGTGTGTGTCCGGACAAATCTTGTCAGCGCGATAACTTGAGAAATACTTAACATATGAACTTCAAATTTGGTTTGTGGATTGTTCTTGGTAATCCTAAGAAGCCTTTTCCATTTGGGGCCAAAAGGCCAAAGGTCAAGTTCACAGTGGCTAAAACAATAGAAATCTTGTCAGCGCGATAACTTGAGAAATACTTAACATATGAACTTCAAATTTGGTTTGTGGATTGTTCTTGGTAATCCTAAGAAGCCTTTTCCATTTGGGGCCAAAAGGCCAAAGGTCAAGTTCACAGTGGCTAAAACAATAGAAATCTTGTCAGCGCGATAACTTGAGAAATACTTAACATATGAACTTCAAATTTGGTTTGTGGATTGTTCTTGGTAATCCTAAGAAGCCTTTTCCATTTGGGGCCAAAAGGCCAAAGGTCAAGTTCACAGTGGCTAAAACAATAGAAATCTTGTCAGCGCGATAACTTGAGAAATACTTTACATGTGAACTTCAAATTTGGTTTGTGAATTGTTTTTGGCAATCCTAAGAAGCCTTTTGCATTTGGGGCCAAAAGGCCTAAGGTCAAGTTCACAGTGGCTAAAACAATAGAAATCTTGTCAGCGCGATAACTTGAGAAATACTTTACATGTGAACTTCAAATTTGGTTTGTGGATTGTTCTTGGCAATCCTAAGAAGCCTATTGCATTTGGGGCCAAAGGGTCAAGGGTCAAGTTCACAGTGGCTAAAACAATAGAAATCTTGTCAGCGCGATAACTTGAGAAATACTTAACATATGAACTTCAAATTTGGTTTGTGGATTGTTCTTGGTAATCCTAAGAAGCCTATTGAATTTGGGGCCAAAAGGTCAAGGGTCAAGTTCACAGTGGCTAAAACAATAGAAATCATGTATTTATTCTGAGATTATAGGGATTAGGGATTAATTCATATAAAACCTACAGAAGACACTAATGCTGTCAATGAATGTTCCATGTGACCAAGGTACATGTAAGTTGATGTTAAAAGAGTGGTGTTATGTCATGGGAACTGTCACCGTTGCGGGGCATTTGTGTTTGTAAACACACCTGACTTGTTTATTTTGTCTCTTAACGAAAAGATAAATAAATGGTCAGTTTTGAAATAAGGATTCTGTCAGTTTTGAAACCTACTTGTGAAAAGGTTTACTTGTGAAAAGCAGGGTGTGTTAAAGGAAATTTCCAATTGCTCGAGAGCATCAAAAGATTCATTTCATGACGCCTGATCACAAGAGGTGTAATGTTCAATTAGAAACCTAATACAGTTAATGTTGGAGAATCAATTCAGTTCATAACTTTGTCTTCTTGATTCACACCACAAACAGAGTGAAGAGTCTGTCCAAATATAGTCATTTTTTGGTTTCCTTGTAACTTTTAATGAACGTAGCCGTAGGTCCCGTTTGTTGTGTAATGCATGTTAAAGAACCCAGTAACACTTATCGCTAAGAGGAGGATTTTGCCCCGGTGTTTCTAGCCGCAGCTACTTAATGTGCCGCAGCACCTTGTAAACCATTATAAAGGTGCTACATAATGGTTCTCATATTTCTCATGTACTTCATTTACCTGTCTCTAATAATAGACATAATTTCCAGCGCCTTGAGTACCTAATTTCTTGTAGATACGTGCGCTATATAAGACTTCGGTATTATTTGTCTTATTATTATAAAAGATGACCACAACTAGGATCAACAGACTTCTTTTCATGTTTCCTTGACAGAGATCAAGCAGGCCGACCCTCATGCCCCTTGGATCCATACTTCATTGTCCCAGACAAGTGCAAGTGTGTGGACTACCAAGTCTTGAAGTTACAGGAGTGTCCTGAGGATGTACCCAATGGTGAATTGCCCAGGCACATCCAGTTGTACTGCGACAGGTAAGCATGTCTATTATTGTATAGTTTTTACAAACACGTGTTATGTACACATGTATTTTTATCCACAATTAGGATTCCATGGTTGTAGTCAAGTCTATCGCAGGTCTGGTTCCAAGTAAATCACAAGTCAAGTTACTTATTTTTTTTTAGACAATGAGAAGAAATTACAGCTTTAGAGGTGGGAAGAAAACCCAAGAAGAATATTCTGGGGGAAACCCACGGAATCAGGTAGGGACTGAAAACCCAATCCACATATTGGCCCTGGCAAGATTCAAACCCGGGTCACAGCGGTAGAAGGAAAGTACCGCTATGCCAACAAGTAGCAAGAGATGAACAATAGCAAGGAATGCTTTGGTCGCAGTTTGTTTGAATAGCTTGTGACTTGACTCGGGACTGGCAGACTTGTGTGATTGACTTGTGAGGACTCTGCAGGATTCTGCACCCAATGTTTTTGACTTGTCACATATATCAAGGTGTATAAAGCCCGGTTCATACTTCATGCGAAAGCGAATGCGAAGCGAATTTGACTTCATAAAACATTCGTTGCGAAATTCGCCCGAGTTGAAATATGTTCAATTTTTACGAATTCGCAGCGCGAATACTTGCCACGACGTCACAAATGCGCGTTCGCTTTCGCGCAGAGTATGAACCGGGCTTTATGCATCTCAAGCCTAAAATGCATCACATCCAGCAAAACCATTTTGCTAAATTACAAAACCTCAGATTGTATTGAAATAACAGGGCAACGTGAGAACTTTAAAAGATGACTTCTTTTCCGTCTGTTTGGAATGAAACCTCCAGGTATTTGTGTGAGCGTGTTGTCCCCGGTAACCGTGTCACCATCATGGGCGTGTACGCTATCAAAAAGATGGGACCAGTTTCAAAGGTAAGGAATGGTTGCCATTGGCAACAGAGCATTTCACAAAATGTTCGTCATGCAAATTTAATGCACCAATCTGAATGACTGACGATTTCACACCCCTGTTGTTTACAGAAAGCAGCATAGACTGGCTGTGACTGTTTATACTTTGACCATAGGTGATTGATATTAAAGACAGCAGTGCCTACCAGTTGCCTGCTTTTGTCTGTTGATGGAATTTGACTAATCACATTGTTTACAGGAAATAATTATGATCCAACTGTTGGTGACTAGCCTGTGTATAGAGGGGAGGCCAGCGAACAGGATTGATATGGGGTGTGAAATCTCAGCTTTAATGCTGATTTTAGTTTTTTGTTTTGGATTTCAGCTTGTTTTCAGCTTTCTCCCTCACTTGCTGTGTACAAAAGTATAGGAGATTTCCAAAGTTCAGCTTCTTTACACCTTTTTTCATTTATTTTCAGCTATATTTATAAGTGGTCGGTCACACCCCTGAAACAGGGAGCTCTTAACCTTTAAAAACCGTCACTCGATTAGTTTTGACTTCTGCAATGGCTTTGTTGAATTTACTAGCCAGAGAGGGAGGGGTTTAACCAGGTAGCGCCAAAGGCCGTGTATACACGCAAAAGTTTTGCGATATTCCGAACGGATGACAAATAAACACGCAGGGAGCGAGGCCGGAATTATCTGTCAACGACCCGCTTGCAGTGAGCGAGGCTTGAAGTATGAGTATGCTGCCCGAGGGTGATGGCTTCAACCCGCCTGGCTTGAGGTCGAGTGAAAAGTAATCCCACGCTTCGTTCTGTTCTTGTCAAAATAATAACGGTGTGAACTGGTTAAGGCACTTAGGCACAGAATCTGCAAACAATGTGCAATTTTACATAGTGACTGATGGGATGCAAATTATTTCATTTACAGAGGTCACGTTCAGACAAGGTGGCCGTGGGCATTCGCAGTCCCTACATCCGCGTGGTGGGCTTTGAGGTAGACACGGAAGGTCCGGGCCGTAGCTCTGGCGTTCCCCTCTTATCGGAGGAAGAAGAGGAATTCCGTCAACTGGCCGCCAATCCCAACGTCTACGAGCTCATCGCCAAGAGCATAGCGCCCTCTATCTACGGCAGCATCGGTGAGCGTTTACAACATTGCGTGCGTGCTTTCCAGGGATGATACACCAAAGGTTTTCCAAAATAGAGCAGCAATTAGCAAATGTTTCTTCAAACTTTGAAGCATGCCCTTCATATTATTCAAATACGTTTTGATTAGATTTCACTCGATTAGATTTCTACTTAGTAGTGCAAGAAGGTTGTCCCTGATTGTGATAAATTTGGGTCTACTTCACAGATATAAAGAAGGCCATTGCCTGTCTCCTGATTGGTGGATCCCGTAAGCGTATGCCCGACGGTTTGACGCGTCGCGGTGACATCAATCTTTTGTTGCTTGGTGACCCCGGAACGGCCAAGAGTCAGCTGCTGAAATTTGTGGAGAAAGTTTCGCCAATTGGGGTAAGGAATATATCTTCAGCTAGTTTCCATTACATAGTCAAAAATTATTTTTGAAGGGGATAGTATTGCAACATTTCTGGCTCTGATAATGCTTTACATGGGGTCAGGCATACCACCATAATCGGAGTCCAACAGTTTGGGTGATGGGTTTACCATATGGTGTTGGATTTTGCAAGAGTGAGGAAGGTTCCTAGTAAATCACTCATGGGGGTAGGGTTAAGCCTCATTTTGTTGGATCCGGTGACATTTATACCAGAAGAAAGACAAAAAAATATCCAGGTCGGTGAAAAGCAAATCCTTGATTGATTCTGTCTAAAAGTCCTTTTAAAGCCTAAGTCTTAAAGTAATATTGTTTATAACCTTAAGCCATGTTCCCGTTGGATTTTTTTGCCATGGCCACGCGGAAACTGAACGCCGACATTCCTAAGCTTAAATCTACTGTGCGTTCTAACTTGGACTTTTTTCAACACCGTTTATTCACCATTAGTGGCTAGCAGAAAGTTCGATTGCAGGCATTATGCACAATAACCCTTGAACTAAATGGATATAATTTTGCGCGCTAAAATAGTCAGCTACTGTCCGACGGGATGATGATAATGTCTGATAGGGGAAAGACTTCGTTATCTGTTTGTCCCCATTGGACTTAATTTTGTCATTCGACAGGAAAGTTGCAGTAAGTTAACCAAAAAAGTCCGTGGGAACACGGCTTTAGATAAGAATCCTCCAAGTCCCACCATTGTGCCGGAAAGCAGGAAATAATAAGCCAATACCACATTTTTCAAACTAAACTTTCAAGGGGATCGTTGCCCAACACACTGCCTTCCACACTCCTTCAAAAAACATCCAAAACTTCCTGGTTGATTGTGAAGGTTCAGGGAGGTTTCCAAGATGTATTTATTGGTTTGTTTCATTTGTGGTGTTTTGTTTTAGGTTTATACATCAGGTAAAGGAAGCAGTGCAGCTGGTCTGACGGCCTCTGTTATCAGAGATCCACAATCTGTAAGTACTTGACTTTTGAAAGATTTTGTTTTAATTTCTGTAAATAGTTTTGCATCAAACTTTGTGTCTTTGTAATGTCATAGAACTTACAAAATGAGTTCAGTTGCATATCGTTCCAAAGGCAAATTCAATTCATTTTTTTCTTTCAAAGTTGACACTGAACTACCCAGTGGGCTCAAACACACCGCATAATACTGCAATAAAAGCAAAACAAGAAATCAGTTATTAAAACTAACAAGTCAGGGAAAGTAGTGTCTGACGTTAGGCTGTGCATTGGAACTGGGTACCCGAGTACCCGACCACTGATGTCAGGAACCGGTTCCAGGTTATGGGATCGGTACCCTTAACCAGCTTTACAACTTCTCAGACAATGAAAGAAGAAAGGTTTTTAATGTCATTTATAAATGTCATTTATGGGAAATAAAATGAAAACCAGGCTACTGTACATGGGAAAAACAAAACAGATTCACGTTTATGACGCTTGCTAAAATGAAATTTACACCGTAAAGCTATAGGGCTCATTGTACACACTTGTAGCTTGCTGTATTGACGCACCAATGTTGCAGTATTGTCAGGACCTTTGTGAACAATCTGAAAAGCAACTGCCGAAATTTATATTTTGGGGTACCCGTGTTTTTTTAGATTGGGTACCCCATTCCCGTACTACCCGTGAATGCACACCCCTAGTCTGATGGCGCACCTGCCCCCTCCCAATCTGGCCTAATCTAAGTAATTTTGAAAACGGACAGCAACATTGCCAATGGTTGGCGAGAATTTTGAAAACCACTTTTGTTCTTCACCAAAGGTAGTGACAACGTCATCAACCTGTTACAAAATGCAAGAAGAAAAAAATGTTTTGAGGAGAAGTCAATTCTGAATATATATTTTTTTGAAGAGAGGCTATAGAGATGAAGTGTGTCAATGACATGTCTTGTATACTGTTAATGTGTCGTTCTTGTGGCTTAACTTGTGAATGGACTTTACTTGTGACCTGACTTGTGATGCACTTCTGATGGACTTGACTACCCCACAGTTACCAACTGACGCATCTAGAAACAAATCTCTGAGTTCTTCTTATGCATGAAACACGTCATCTTTTATGACTTGGGGACAAAGAAAGTGTATTGTGGACCCTTTCTTTCAATATCCTTTAAGTTTTTTAATTTTTTGATGATGCAGCGGAATTTCATAATGGAGGGCGGGGCCATGGTCTTGGCTGACGGGGGCGTGGTCTGCATCGACGAATTTGACAAGATGCGAGAGGACGACCGCGTGGCTATCCACGAGGCCATGGAGCAACAGACCATCTCCATCGCCAAGGCAGGCATCACTACCACGCTCAACTCACGGGCGTCGGTCCTGGCCGCGGCCAATTCGGTGTTCGGACGCTGGGATGACACTAAGGGAGATGATGTAAGCTTGTGTTCATTTGTGCCAATAAGCTACAAGTAATCTTTTTTACTGTTACTGTACCCTATACATATTCTTTTTCCTTTTTTTTACATCAAAAAAAGGGAAAGCGGCCAGACTAGAGAGAATATATTTCGCTGGTTCACACAATTTAGAATCACCTCAAGTTTAAACTGAATGCCTCAGTTTAGAACATTACATATATACTCATGAGTTAAGCCTAGTTTCCATATTGATGTTAAGCTTTTGCAGACTACGCGGAACTGTATGCAACCGGTCGTCTGCAAGATAGTTTGCATCTGTCTGGGTTTTCATTGATATTTCCACATGAAATGTTTCCATATGTCTGCGTTGCAGTTTGGGTCTTGTTTGCGTTTCTTAAAGGGAAAATACAACATTTGCAAACATCAAAAAATAAAACTACCAAATCATTTTGAAATACCTTGCTGGACTGTAAGTGAATGACAGTGTAAAGCATCCTGTAAAATCATGGCACCTGGTTTACTGTCATTTTCAAGAAAAGTGGTATTTTTGTATCAATTTCCAACGCTGATCGGCCGATCAGCGTTGGAAAAAACTGGGTTTTTTTCCAATCGATTACACACCTATGAACGGGTACAAGCCAGCTAGACTGGTTCCCTGACCTTACATTTCCCCAATGTATGTAAACTGCTCTGTTTCTTCTTAAATGGAGTCAGGGAACCAGACTACAGGAAAATGATTGTTTTTCTTGGTTTTTATAGCATTTTTGAACCCAAAACCTCAAAAAAGTCAGTGTAACTATATTTGCTATATATTTCCAACCCCCCAATTCCATCCATTTCTGAAAATTACAGCAAAAGCAAATGATGTATATTCCCTTTAAGACGATAAGGAAACCAGGCTTTAGTCAGTGATGCAGTCTTCCAGTAAAGTGACTCAGTCAGGGAACAATATGCTGGTCCTCACATTCCCATGAACATCAATGTCTATCAGGAATGTACTCGAGGGTTAGTTGTGCATGGATCTAATGGGAAGTTGGGTGGCCGAATCTTCCACGTGATTTTAAAATTTGCCTTGACCTTTTTTTTTTCCTCTTCAGAACATTGACTTCATGCCTACCATTCTGTCACGTTTTGATATGATCTTCATTGTCAAGGATGAGCATGATGAGGAAAAAGACATGGTAAGACATAGTTTAATGTGGAGGACAAAGATCTGCACTGACGCAACAATATTGTTGGAGGCAGTGTTTCCCCTGCCTATTCAAATGTTAGGTGGCCCACCTCGCTACTTTCAGTGACCACCTCGCTCAATTTTTGCCAATATCACCACCTCGCTTTGAAGATTGGCAGAAAAGGAAATATCAATTGAAAAATTTTCATTTTGTGTAATATATTGAGCGTTTTCCTTTACCTCCATGTATCAAGAACTCACAATTTCGATGTGTTTTTGGAATCATCGCGCATTTTTGTGAGCGCTGCATTTTTTTCAGTTTGCAGACTGCGTAAATTTCATTTCAATCATCAACTTGAATTGTTACCACCTCGCTCAGTTCATTAGCCAGGGGAAACACTGGTTGGAGGGATTTAATGTGTTTCAAATGTGGTTACAGATGAACTAGCTGTGATATGAAAGAATTTTTTTTTTCTCATATCAATTCGTCACATTTTTCCATACTGGCGAACAGGTAGCACCGCGCCTTATCCAAACCGGCGAACAGGAATACAATTGTGTATACCTGTTCCCCAGTATGGAAAAGGCGCGGTGCTAGCTGTTCGTCCAGTATGGAAAAAAAGGCGACGAATCGTCAACTTTCAAAAAGTCCACTTGTTACTGGTTTTGTGACAATTTTCTATTGACTAGTCTTCATTTTCTATTGACTAGACACTGAAGTAATTCGAAAACGGCTGGTACAATCGATACTTTGACGCAGTCACTCCAAATTGTTTCAAATGGCAAACTTTTTGATGTTCTTAATTGAGATCTTCAGAATAATTGGGTTTGGTGCAACTCTTGAATTCCCGTCTTAAACGGTGTAGGTAACGGGAGATGCCTTTTCACTGATCTTGACATTATTAATTACTTTTTTATACAGAGGCTCGCAAAGCACGTAATGAACGTCCACATGACAGCGCAAGGCATGGCCCAACAAGGACCTTCGCAGGAAGGAGAACTTCCCCTCAACTTCCTCAAGAAGTTTATCTCCTACGTCAGAAAGTAAGGACAAAATGTTGTCAAAGTAGGAGGCGGGACAAAGACTGTCAGATTGCCAATAGACATACCAGTGTGTATTTTAAAAAGAAACTGACCATATATCCCTGAATTTTGCAAATGTGTGTTGACTCCACAGAGCTATATTAAATTACTATAGTGGTAACTCGCTGTGCAAATGAAGCCTGCTGAGTGCTATGGAAAACTTGAAATTTAGTACGGCTATTGCATATCTGGGTTTGTATTCTATACCAGGCAGTGCGTTATCGAAGTGGATCGTTACACCCAGAACTGAAATGCGCAACTAGTAAATGAGCATTTAATTTTTTTCTGCACAAACGCATGCACGTAGGCGCTGCAGAAGAGTTTTGCCGTGACATTTTTTTTTAATGGTCATACTCACAGAAAACGCGCTTACGTTGTCCGCGTATGTTGTACTTGCGCGCTACATTTAGAGTACATAATTTGAAATCCATTCTGTGTGATTTTATTATGTTCTACAAACACGCACATGAACTCAACATGTCTGCGCCCAGGACAGCTTCAAAATATCTCCGCGGGGAATGAGTAGCTAGCGCTCCAGTAATTTAATATAGCTCTATGGTTGACTCTAAAATCTGGCTAAACAGTTTACAGTTTCATGAAGCTGCTAAGCATATATATTAAATTGTTTGAACTAATATTTGCTGATGATTAAAACGCTGCTTCGATAAAACAAAATCACTACATGATGTTTTGGTGGGATACCTTTTTTGTTTTTCAACAAAAATTTGGCTTGTATTAATGAAATCTTTCTGCCAGTGAAGTGAGCCTAAGTTTGATATTGAAGATTTCCTTTTTATTGTCATTGTCTGAATTAACTTTATACATATCTGACCCATACAGTAAGTGTGGACCTCGCATCTCAGAGGCAGCAGCCGAGAAACTGAAGAACCGCTACGTTTTGATGCGCAGTGGAGCGCGAGAACACGAGAGGGAGACAGACAAGAAGACCAACATTCCAATCACTGTCAGGTCAGTTTCCATGGCAATCCTTCATTGGAAAGCTCTTTTTTCCATGGAAATACATTATATATCTCTCAAAGTTTACAAGTTACATTCTGCATTGATAAAAGTTTTCTCATTGGGGAGATGTTAATTTTAGTGTTTTTGCCCTTTGTTGAAGTAACTCATGAAAGTTTGAAAGATTATGTATCTACCACTGGTGTAGGTAAACTATGAGAAAACACTGGTCAGAGCTCTACTGCCTACCCCAGGTAACTATCCACGAAATTTCTGTTGAGATTTAACTTCAAAGCAGAATTTCACCCTGCAAGAAATTTAAGGATGTTCACAGTGTTAGTACAAAATCCCAAGTACAGAATAATGTTAGATGTTTGTCTTCTCCAACAGGCAACTTGAGGCTATTATCCGCATCACTGAGTCACTGGCCAAGATGCAGTTGAAGCCCTTTGCCTCAGAGGCCCACGTGGATGAGGCGTTGCGTCTTTTCCAAGTATCCACCCTGGATGCGGCCAGGACAGGCAACCTATCAGGTGAGTCACTCAGGGACTCCAACAATGCAGTTTAGACAGTTTTATGGAAACCATTAGACCATAATTGCGCAGTATATGTTGCAGTGTGTTGTGGGTCAGTTTGTACTGCATAAAATCCCAATTTTATATTAATGACAATAATAATAATGTGCTTATATAACGCTTTATGCGCCTATCAAATGTCGGGATTCGGTCACGTTTTTCATGCCCCAGGGTGGGGATTTTGGTCACTTAAAAACATGTTCCCATTGGCGTAGTACATGGAAAGACAATGTCTGAGATTGTCACTTACATTTTGCCTGAAGGGTGGGGATTTTGTCACTTCAAAAGTGACAATCCCCCCGTCTTGGGTGGGGCAGCCAGAGGGGGAACAGTTGATAGGCGCATTATACCAACAGTCTAAAAGCACTTTACAATTATTACCCCCTTTTTGTCAGGCCATTAGACCAGTTTTTCCAGCAGCTCGAGATCAGCGCATTCTGGTCTCGACCTTCACAGGTACCCATTTATACTCCTGGGTGGAGAGAGGCAATTGTAGTAAAGTATCTTGCCCAAGAGCACAAGCACCATGTTCACCGTTAGGGTTCGAACCCACGCACCACGGCACGTGAGTTGAACGCCGTAACCATTGGACCCCAACGCTCCACAATTTTAGCACAAACTGTCCCACAATGCAATGCAAGGTATACCTTGACCGTAATATTGCCGTAAAAGGTTATAATTTGCAGATATCGTGCAGATATTATTATAATTATTTTTTTAATATTATTTTACTTATTTTTATGTTTTTAGGTGTTGAAGGATTCACAACCCAGGAGGATCAGGAAGAACTGAACAGGATTGAAAAACAACTGAAACGCCGCTTTGCTATCGGCTCACAGGTCTCGGAACACTGCATCATTCAAGACTTCCTGCGCCAGGTGGGTCTTTGGTTCCTAGAAGAGAAGAGAGATTTTACCCGACCCTTCCCATGATCTTTGGTAGTTACTGGACACAATGGAAGTTAACCCTACCCCAAAAAGTTCATTTGGGGTTAAGTAACACATACTACAAAGTGCTACAAAAAAAATTATGTATGCGGGTACCAAAAAAACCAAAAAATACTATGAGTGCTGTGCCCACTTATAAACTGAATTACTGCATTATAACAGTTTAATACTAGCACTATTTTGTAGATTTATGAAGGGTTAGGGTAATGGACACAATGGACAGTAGCTTCTTTGTGGGCACGCAAAATAAGTCAAAATCTGTTGTCAGTGGCCAGTAAGGTATTTCAATTGCACTTGCACGTGTCAAATGTGATGACTTTTCTTTTGAGATCAAAAATTCTTTATGCAAGGGATCTTGTTTTGAAGCAAGTACCGTAATTTTCGGAATATAAGCCGCGGCTTATACGTTGATTTTGCCCATGAAAATGTTTACTGCGGCTTATACACAGGGCGGCTTATACGCCGAGCCTTGAAGAATAAAAATGAAATTCACATGTGTATTTAATGTACTGGTATAAGAAGAGATATGTTGCTGAAATGAATTATAAATTAAGAAAGTCATTAACAAACCGAAACCACGTCTCACGTAAAGGTACCGAGCGGTTAAAAAGTACGGTGATGAAAGCTGTCTTCGACACTTGCCACCAGCCGTACGTGATACTGGTACAGTGCAGCAGCGATATGCAGGCATGCTTTCCCAACAGCGGACCACACCATTTGTGGTAACAAAGGGGTGTTCTTTATTGGGAACAATAATTACCAATATTTTCGCTGTTTAAAAAAAAAGAAAAAAGACCACTACAATTTTTATGGCGTTCGAAACATTTTTGTATTACATAATCAGTTGTTCAACGTCACAATATATTTTGTTTTCTTGAAATGTATTCAAGAAACTATGTAAAACTCAAAAGAGGGACTAAATCACCCCTTACAAAATTAATGGAATCGTCTATTAAAATGTCCGCTTCGTTTTGACTATTTCCAAAGAAAGTTACGATCGAAACTTGAATTTTTCTCGCAACTAATCGCAACAATTTGATAAGTTTTGAGGTAAAAACGGACCTGTTTATTCTTAGGACAAAACAAATCAGCATCTGTTGCCACAAAGCAAGATTTGTAGCGCTCCAGTCAGACAACACACGGTGGGTTTCATACTCTCTCACGTGCTGTGGGAAAATGTTGTCATTCACCGGCGTGCGTGGCGCAGGCTGCCGGGCTATGACGGGGCAGCCGGCAGCAGTTCCCGGTGTTTATTTCTCATCAATTCCCATATTTGTTTGTAAAAGTATCAATTGTAAATGATTTGATATAACTTTTGTGGTCCTTTTAATAGCTTCTGTAGTGTGAATGGAACTGGTTCAGAGCATTTTGACTAGAATTTGGAGGCCTTACAAAATTGAAACCGCAGCGGTCGGTGCGGCTTATACGCCGGTGTGGCTTATACGCCGACTTCAAATCTTAATTTGCAGATTTTTGCGTGCTGCGGCTTATACGCCGCGCGGCTTATATTCCGAAAATTACGGTACACAATGTCAAAATATTTGGACAGCACCATGTTTTGTATGCTAAATTTTGTCCTCACTTGTCTCTCTGTTATTTTACAGAAATATCCCGAGCGTTCCATCTACAAGGTTCTGCATCTGATGATGCGAAGAGGGGAAATTCAGTACCGCATGCAACGTAAGATGCTGTACCGCTTGAAGTAAGAAGTGGAAGCGGGGTTGGAAAAGTGTGAATAACAGTGTCAAGACTGAAAAACTTTTACTTTGTCAAGATCACTTCAAGCCGGTATAAATTGTTGCACATATGTGTCTAAAATTCATAACTTATGAAGGTGTAATGTTATGCCAAGGTTGAATGATCAGCCACTTCTGGACTGGTTCCTGTCCTGTAGTCAAGAACATACAATATTTCAGGGTACCAGTCTAAACTGCTTCATTATAGGACAGTTTTGTTTATAGATGAAAAGGTCATCATGGAAAAGGTAGACAGTGTAACAATCAATTTATTGTTTTGTTTTTATCCCCCTGGCTGTAGGCAAGAGAAGGGGATCTTGCGATAGTGTATTCCTTCTGTCCGTGTGTTCCATGTTGGTTAGGTTAACTGTTTAGTGCTGTCATATGAAAAGTCTTAAAGTAATCTTGGGTAGGAGGACTTCAGATGACTTGAGAAATTTGAGGTCAAAGGTCATCTAGGGGTCAAATGAGGTCGTTGTTTTGGTTGGGTCAACTGAAAAGTGTGCCTGCTACCTGACTGTATATATACTGCCAGCATGCCAGGGGATCACGCAAGTTTAACTTGCAGTATATTTCAATTTAGTTTTAAGTTTTAAAGTTGGGTCTCAATTTTTCAAATGCTTGAAAATTAACAAGTTGTGACAGCACTGGTTAATAGTGAAAAGTATTTGAAAGATGGCACAAAGATTCATTAATTGATAGGTGTTCCGTAACTGACAGTTGGTTGAAATGTAATCTGTACAATTTCAGCAACCATACTGTTTAAGCACTCAATTCGGTGATTAAAACAGATGAGCTCTACCTGTAATACAATTTGCCAACTTATATATGAACTTGAAAATACCATAGGAATTGAATGGATTGTAGTATACTGAAGTTATTTATGTTGTGTTGTTGCGCTTAACCTGATTAAGCAGATGTTATTGCCAATCGTTATGGCTGGATGAATCACTTTACTACGGCTTGTTTGTTTGTTATTATTCAGCTGTTGGTCGAGATAGCCCACAAAAGTCTTTTGATTTGTTTCAAGTGGGGCTCCTGGATAGAAGATATAGAATTAAATTACAGTTTTAGTGGTGGGAGGAAAATCCCAGAAAGATATTTTATGGAAAACGCACAGAATCAGGCAGGGACTGAAAACCCAATCCACATACTGGCCCAGGCAGGATTCGAACCCGTGTCACAGCGGTGGAAGGCGAGGAAAGTACTGCTATTAAGCCAACCTTATTATCCTGATCGACTTCATTGGTCAATAATTGAAAATTATTCTGATATACGTGTACAGGATTCTGTTGCACGAAGTACTCGTGCTACTCGGCTGTGTTGTGGAATTACTTTTCAGGAGTGCAGTTCAAAATATTATTAACATGTTGATTAGGTTTCTATATATAGCGATGTAATTATGCAGGGACTTCATTTTTGACCAGCAAAACTACAAAGTAATGTATGATGATCCCTCGTCTTTACATAGAATCATTTGAATATTAATAAACTCTGAAACAAGTGATAACCTGTTTTGTTGCCAAAAAGAAAGGAACCAGAATATGAGATTATAATGTAGTTTTCCCGTACTATATTTAATGTTGTTGGTATATTTTAAAAAAAATAAAACTCACGTGTCATGTCCCAAAGGCCAAAATTTACATGATTTACAGTTTAAATATGCATTGAATGCAATTTAGGGGTATTAGAAATATAAAAGGGACAAGATCTAAAATATTTAAAATACAAAACGGGAAAAAGAAAATTACAACACTACACCACCCAAAATAAAGTACACGAGAAAGAGGTAAATTTAGAACATATTAATCTGATAAATTATTAAATAAAAACCACCAGAGTTGAACAGGCTGATGGACGAGGGAGATGGTTAAAAAAAAATGGAATTAAAAACGTTAATATAGTTTGAAATTGTTCCTATTAATGGTAAAACTTTGTCCCGTTCTGTATCTATTTCTTTGAAGATTTATATTGTATTGGTTGTGTTTTTCGTGAGAAAGGTCATTGTCTTTTTGACAGAGTAACATGTGACCCCAAAAAGATCATACGATGTGTTTTAGCAGCATCAAACGTGTCATTTGGCTTGATATAAAAACAGTCGCATTAAATTGAAATTTCACTTACCATAAATGAACTTTGGTACATTCTTTGTATTTTGTTAGTTCCTCAAAATGGTGTTTTGACAATTAAACCAGTGATTCAAGAAGAAAATCTTATTAGGACAAGTTTCTTATTCGTCATAACTTGATAATTTGGAAATTATCTTTGACAACAAAACGAAACCAATTTGCCATTCAGGTTACCATATTCAATTATATGCACATTCAAATATCTTGTCAATGCCTATCTAGAAAAATAATCTAATACTTGAGACAAGAAATTGTAGTTAGGGCCTATGTTATAACAAGTCAGATTTTAAAATAACTAGACAGTGCAGCGATGTAAATTCTATTGCCTATAATAAATTTCAATTGCCTAATGTAAGTTCAATTGCCTAATTTCAGGTTTGTTTCAGATAGTAAATGACATTTGGCACCATACATCTGTACACTTTTCCTTCATACCCCAAATTTCAGGCAAAAATGTCAAAAAAGTCCACTTTTATCCGCACCAGTGGAATCGTTGCCGTACAGGGATCCGTGCACGCGATGCACCCCTGTATTAAAATTCCCATATACACCAGTGCTAAATGCCCATACTTCAAAATTCTTTTTAAAATACTCGGAACTCTCACAGGTATTTAAGCTGCACAGAAAAATGATGATCAACATTGTCATCTTTCATTTTCTTTTCAATTTTTGGTGGGTTGACCATTGACTTCCCGAGAAATTCTCACCCAAAGAAGACCCCTATTTTTCCCAAAGCGGAAAAGTAGCCATCTTGAATAACGATCCCTCCACAACATGGCAAAATACCGCCACTTTGGAGCCCAATTGCATCCAAAATGCTCAGAATTGGAAGCCCCAAGTCCGGGCCAGAGGTTCATCGCATGCATTATTCCCCAATTTTATGTCTCTCCGAACAGAACTCTCTAATATAGAATAGGCCTATTTTGAGGGGTATAACTTTTATTCATGAGCTCAGCGGATGGGTTTAGGCCTATGTACAGGTGTGTACCCCTAACGAGGCCCCTCTCTATGGAGAAACCATTGTCACCCTATTCTACAAAGCAAGTGTCACGTGACGGATTATCTGAACAGTAGATAGCACAATGCTTTCGCCATTGAAGGGACAGAATTGATAGCGTACTCGAATTGATCTTTAGGTAGGGCGAGCTGACGTCATCTGATGAAAACATCTATTCATTTGCACACCAGTTTTCATCGGTTGCTATTTGTTACCATTCAGCACCCCAGGCTCAATTGTTTTTTTTTCTCAATAACATAGGTCTGGGAGCTAGAGAAACCAATATAAAAACATTCCCAGATGTCCGCGTGCAGTGTGTTTGGAAGAACTTTGCATTGGAATGGCCCAACTCGGCCATGCACGAATTGTTTGATAGTTTCCGTAAGTATAGAGTGCAAATTTAACAGTTAATCCAACATACAGATATCTCTATTTCTGATAGACTTAACCCTATTATAGAACCCAAATACGTGAATAAATATTGATGCAAGGTAGGCACCTTTCCCAAAGCAATTTCAGGTGTTACCCCTTCTAAACATCTTCTCTATGGCTAAAAGAATATATCTGTCAAGGTTGGTGCTTTGGACCGTAGTCGGTCACGATCTCGTCAACAATTGGATCTAAGCAACCTGGCTTTTTCCATCAACTGAGTTTTTTTTTTTTTTACATCCAGATAATCGTGACATTTCTCTTCAAGACGATCACCTATGAAACCCATCTTCTACCTCTATTTCCATGCAGCTACTCGTTTACAGCCTTACAACTTAACATGCTAGTCTCAAATGGTGGACACTTGTGCAAGGTGCTCTGGTATATACATAGTAGTTGGTGCAAGTCGAAAGTCAGCTCCTATGATCTAGGCCCTGATGGCTCCCTTGAACTGCTCCACAGTGGGCAGCTCAATGATGTTCTGTCGCCGCGGTCGCAACTGGGTATTTTCCCGAGGTGGCTAATCCGTCTTCCCATCTTCAATATTCTTTAGTTCTTTGTATTTGGGCCCGGGACGATCTGTAATAACACACAAAAAAAGCACAATTGTCGGTAAAACCCAGCCAGTTTAACGCTTGGGTCGCCAAGTTTACTTTTAATACGTTATTCCCCACAGTTATTCACTAGCACCACTGGACTCGGAGACTGCCTCTACATCCTAGGCCCCCGACCTTGAACATTTGGTTTTGGGGGGGTTGTGAAATACATGTATAAACCAGTTACTGAATTTCTGGTTTAGATGCATATTCATCTATAGGCCATCAGCCTGGGGGTTTGGTCGGTATCAAATGAGGAGAACAATGCTCATTGTGATTTTTGGCAAACTATGCACCCCTGAGTATCGCAGCGGTGGCAGCTTTTTGGGCGCTATCACTTTACAACACAAGTGACATTTTTATCTATTTTACAGACGTTCAATTATTTGTTCTCTCTAAAAACTGGTGATATTCACTGTGTACGAAATGTAGCCGTATTTCCCCGAAAATATAAGCCCATGGACATTTGCGGATGAGGGCCTACACCACCGTTGTTGGCCAACACTATCTACATCTCAACATTTTGATGTGCAATGCACATTGCCGATAGCGTGTACGTGCCCGCAAATTTCTGAAAAGGACAATTCCTCGAGTCCCACACGGTCCCCAAAGGTCTGCGGAATCAAACCCAGCCAATCTAAGAATTTCTAGGTGCTCTTCTTTATCCATAACTCCTTTTTACTTCTTTATGTGGTCACTTTGATTGATAATTTATAGGTTTTTTGTGTGTTCGAAAGGGAATGATGGTCCTATGACTATGTAGCCAGTCCCATGGAGTGTTGCATGCTTAGTGCATTGTTAGGGCTCATGACTCGTGTTCCAAGGGTCAGGGGCCCGAATCCTAATTATGTTGTGTCCTTGGGCAAGCCACTCCACCCCACTTGTCTCTCTCCACTCAGGAGTATAAATAGCTCGGGAGCTGGGAAGTAACCTGCGATGGACTGGCATCCCACCCAGGAGGAATGGAAATGTTCTTGGTCGTTTCATGTCAAGGAAACCAGAGATAAACACCCGCCTGATGAGCCACATTGGCTCATGACAGACTTACTTTATTCATACTGGCATTAACGTCGTACTTACCAGTCATCAATTCCTCTTCTTTAGATTGCACTTTCACGTCGTACCATATGTACCTGAATGGCGGGGGGTGTTATTAGATTTGTTATTCACATTGGTAAAGTCTGTGGGATCAAAATACATACACATGCAAATTTAGATGAACAAAATATAAGCTTTTTTTACCGACATAGGCCTAAATCTTATTGACGGTGCTGACGTTTTAACTGCACTACTTTACTTTCAAACAAATCAAGGTTATAGGTAACACCACGCTGTTTAGACTAGGCACAATAACCTAAACATCTAAACAGCGGGAAAAACCTATAAATATTAGTTCTGTTCACAAACAGACGTAGACTAGCTGTTGACTGGTGTTACGGTTGATTTAACGTAAGCCTTCCAGCCTCCACACCTTTATGCTCTAACGGCCATTGAACTTTGGTTGCCCTCAAATTAGTCCACGGAACTCCGCATGTCCATTACTGTAGGATGGTTGGTTTTGCGGCAAATAAAACTTGGTTCTCTACCATATCCGTCAGACTGACGTTCCAGGGTAGCACCGAACTAATTTATTCTGAGGCAACTCTAAAACCGAATTCTAGCCGTTCTACAAGAATACATTTTAGTTAGGCGCGATTTGGAACGCCAGTCTAAAATAGTTAGGCCTATACTGTTAGGAACACGTTACTCACAGTACGAGGAGAAGCGACAATGCGTAGAAACCGACTGTTACAAGGAACGGCAGACCGGGCCAGATTGGCAGCAAGGCAGCATAAAGATTGTTGAAAAGACCAGAACTGGCTACGGAGGTAAGCGTCTGAATCAAAGCTGTTACTGCAAAGAGCGACCCTGCATGCGTGGTGATAAGAATTCAATGAAGACAAATTAAGAGTGAGTTATCATACTACTGAGATGAAAACACAAAAAGTCACAGTTTTAGCACTTTCCTTTATTGCGTTTGTCTTCATGTGACGATACTATAGTTTGTCGTTTGTCACGACCGAAGATAGCTTAGTTTAGAGTTTTGCCAAACTAATGACCCACAACTCAATTTATCGTTTATGGTTTTACCGGAAATAAATTGTCAGTCGGTCATCCGAAAGGTAGATTGAACTGGGAGGTGTGGTGGTTTTTTTTAAACAGAAACCACCTCTCCAGTCCCATTTATTGGGTTTTTTTATAACAGGACACATTCCAGATCCATCTACGGGAATCTTGTGCGAGAGCACAATACGCTCTGGCCGTGTTGCAAGAAGTCTGGCAAGAAAGTCATGCATGAAATCGATCAAAATGATCCCTGCCAGAGCTGAAAAATACGACGCCGAAAAATGTGACGCCGATGGCACATATGGAACACCATACTTTTGGTAATTTTTTCCGGGGACAGACAGACAGACCGACCACCTAGTGACAAGTACAAGCTCCTGTCAGAGCTTTAAAAAAAATCAATATTGCAAATTTCAGTTCTAATCATTAGACGGAATTTGCGTCAGGTGGATAAAAAATCTGTTCCTTGCTCTATGATCCATATAATTCAACCAGCTGACCCCAGCAAGCTCGCAGGTGCAGTGGTTAGACGTCTGCGCTAGTAAGCAGGAGGACGTGGGTTCGTGTCCCATCTGAGTGATTTTTTTCTCACAATCACTCGGCAACATTGAGAATAAAGTGTTTATGGAAATTTCATTTCATTAATTACAAAAAGCCCTCGTGGGAAGTGGGATTGACTTACCATATTCTTGAGGTTCCACTAACTTGGATTTGATGGACGTTATGGTAACACTAGGGAAGCTCACTAACATCCCAACAGCGGCAGCTACAAAACGAACATTGCCAAAACACAAAATGAAACACATGACGTGTATTTTAGTTTCAGACGTGGGTTTTCATGTTCAGTCATGTTTAATACGTAGCCCTTGGATTCATGGATCAGAATAGCAGGAATGATAGGCCTCATTATGAAACCATAACTTCAGTTTGCTCTATGTGTGGGCCTAGACCAGTCTGAGCACAAATGTCCCTGTACATACATGATGGCCCCCAGTGATGGCGGTAACATTGTTAAATACAACCGTGCCATAAACAATAGCTGGAACGATGCTTCCAGTGGTGACCAACTGTACAGCGGCACTGTCCCAAACTTTTGGAAGAACTCTAATTTTCAAAAAAAGCTTTATCGTTTGTGTATTTAGTCTGTTCTTTCGGTCTGATAAATTATTGAAGACATTTTGTCAAACCTGACTTTATATTGAATCATTTAAATACCTTTATTTAACAGCAAGACAAAAATCTATGTGAAAAACAAAATCAAACCAAATGCTTACCTATCATCATGACCGTAGTGGATTTTGCGAATGCAATCATGGTCAGAGCTGCTGAGGTTGATATAATCCCTATGGAAGTCAGACCTAGATCTAACTGCATCGAGTGGTTTTTCACAATCTAAAAGAAAGGGTCAAATAAGACGATCACATTATTTTTACATATTCAAAATGATATCTTTTGTAGTTTGTTTTAATACCGTGTTAACAAATTACAACCCATTTATCAAAACAAATTTAGGCAACCTGTAAGTTACACCAGCAAGAGCGAAAATAGGCACTGCGTAGTAACTCAACAGCTATTTTTTTTTAATTTGAATTTTTATTTTGAATCCTGAAAAGATACTAAATAAATCATGCAAGTTAAAAAATACCTTGTGTTTTCAATGTCTCAGTTCCGTTCTTTTCTTTTTCTAATGGGACTTGTTAATCTTGGGCGGTATTTTTATTCTGATGCCCTGTGGACTGGGTATTACCTTAAAGATTGCAGGTAACCCCAAGACCAAGGTGGCTGCTTTCAGAGCGGTTCGAACGCTGATGAAAACACCGATGGTCGTGGCGGTCCAATTCAGCGGAGAATGCTTCGTGTATAAGACAATCAGGTCCATTTCGGCTGTGCACGATCAAAGTGAAAGGAGAACGAAAAATACAACATAAACACTCTGATGTTTTTCTCATCAAAAAAGAATGATGAAAATATATATAGCCTGTGTTTATTCTGATGAATAGGCCAAACGAGACATGGAAAGATGTGTACCACGTTTCCTGGCACTGAGTTTACATCGTATTATGAACTGACACATAAAAGCTACTTTATTTTTTTTTCTCGAAAAGTCCTTTAGTAAAGGAAACACATCCAACATATAATTGCATTAAGTGATAGGAATTTGGGGTTAATTATTAACCTCCACTTTGCGTTCTCCACACGTTCTCAAAGTTCCAAGACACTGGACACAATTTAGAGGTGTAGACCTTTTTTGGGGATTACTGAGGCCACATCATCTACTATGGGCTACCTGGTACGGTCTTGGCTGAGGTCATAAAAGAGAAAGAGTGTACAACTGTGCTTATTCGCTTGCGGTTTTAAACTTTAATCAGCTAAGCCCATGGGCAGAATTACTGTTCATTTCCAATCTATATCTCTGATGCAATGTGTATCGAGAACCTCCATCTTCCATTTTAAAGGCAGTACCCCCTTCAATAAAAAAAAAAGTGCGAAAGATCAACCCCCTCCCTTTGTTTTGTTTCCAGAACTTGAGCTTGTATTTCAAGAAACTGTTAGAATCTACTTCGTTTTTCCCGGAGGTTTCTTTGGCTTGCCTCCATATTGTTTGCATGTGAAAATAATTGCTTAGTGTGACTTGGCCCCACCATTTAAACCTTTCGAGACCATGTGCCTACGACATACGCCTTGCTTTGAAACTACACCACTTAAAAGAAGAGTGGGCGCAGCACTAACCTGTAGAGCAAATGTTATGGATGATACCAATGAGCATAGCCAGCAGGAGGTATTTGCGTCTGCATCCAAGTCTCTCTCGGAAGCAGACCAGAAGCATGCTTCTCAAGCTCTTCCACACCTCCCTGAAAGATTGCCTGATGGAGTCACGGGTTTCACCCCAAAATCTTTCTCTTTTGCCGTCGTCTGCCTCTCCCTCTTTCTCCACTTTTTCCTGTCCAGCTTGAGGCTCCTCTTTCCCTTTCGTCTCGATTTCTTCATCTTCAGCCCTCTCCTCGTCCTCACTAGTGTCATCTTCGTCGCCCCCACTGCTCAGCTCCTGGTCCGACTCATAATCCACGGTCTCCTCCAGCCAGAACACAACGTAGAGCACAACGAGGACGTGGATACCAGCGAGTATGAAGTAGACAGGGGCGAAGCCTTTCATGTCAATCAGGACACCGGAGAGGAATGCCCCGATAGGACCTCCGATGTGAGACATAGCCTTCATCACTCCAAGTCGCTTGGTTCGGTTAGTGCCATCCGTCACGTCACACAGGTAGCTCTTGGCAATGATGTAAGCGGTGACGACGTTCCCAGACAGCCCCACAGCGATTTCGCTGGCGATCAGATAATCCAGCGGCATCATTGGGAAGTAAGTCTGGAAGAGGAAGCTCACAGCTCCCAGAATGCTGCCCAAGGATGGGATGATCAGGAACATGCGCCTTCCCAAACGATCGCTCAAGGGACCGTACAAGGACGACACTATGGCCCCTGGGATGAACAGGGCCATCTTGAGGAGGAAATTCCAGTGCGCTGCGTTTGCCTGAACGTCGTTCTCAACAGCAGCCGATTTCTCGTCTACATCTCCACAAACCGTGTCGTTGTAGCTCTGGATACAGACTTTGTGCAGGACTAGAAGTTGGCTGGCGGGCGTCCGCATGTAGTTCGTCATTGACAGGACGAACATAATAGGTTCTACCGTCACTACATGCAACGACTCCATGACTGTGCGAGCGGCCTCAGAACGCGTCCCCGGCCCCATGTCGTCAACTTACCTGAATTGGAAAAATGAGAACATTTAGGCTACGATACGTAAACCCTTCGATTTCCACGAGCTTGAAGCCTTTTTACTGAGCATAAATGACCGTGCCAGGATTATTATTGAGTGGTCGGGAATTGTTCTGATAAATCTTCTTTGTTGAGTGGAGTCGGGCACATACAACCCGGCCACTGTTTGAAATCGGTCTGATAAATCTCTCTTTTTTCCGAACAATAATTCTCCGCGGGTTTTCTCCTAAACGATTTATGGTATGAACTTTCAACATAATCGAATCACATCCCGAATAGTGTATATTACTCTGACATCATGATGACGTCATCTGGTGTTTTTTCATCTATAACTCTTGTCTTGAACAAAACGATCAATCATGTTCATACGTTGTAATCAGATAGACAATTACTTAATATTTTTTTGTCGTGTACGTGAACTCGCTTGACCTTCTTATTATTTGTTCCGCTTAGTGTCACGTACGATAGCCCAGAAGTTGTACCGGTAACTTGTTAGTAAAATAAAACACTTTGAAATAAATTGTTATCGTAAATCCGTGTGGGCGAGTGGGGGGATGACCATACGGCAACATTTTAAAATTGCCCAGCGGTGGAAATTCGAAAAGCAGGGGAAGGGTAGTATGAGGGAGTGCTGGACACCATTTGTCACTATAGGGATCTCCCCGAACCTACCCCTACAGGCTACGGAGCGATTCGTGGCGTTTCCAACGATGTGTACACAATGAGGACAAAAGGAACATTATTTATATCCATTCAAATCTCAGAGTGGTTCCCACGCGATCCACACCACTTATGTCTTTCTTGTGACCGAGAGCCCCCCGGAAAAGTGTATCTATTGAAGAGTATTTTACCGTACGTCTTGCAACAATGATGGATGATCCTGACTACAGTCCTACACAAAGTATTCCCATCGCATGGAAGGAGGACCCAATGATTAAACGATTTGATTTCAAGGTTTTCTCACAATAGGCTGGACTATGAAAATGAATGGGATTTTAGGCAATGCTTTTCTTTTGTGACATTAAAAAAATATAACCTATTAATACCGAACAGGATTACTGTAACCGCTTCTATGCAGAGCATTCAAAAAGCGGAATTCTTAACAATGCCATTTTATGATAAATATTTGCATAATAAGAAAAATCTCACATGATAAATTTGCTCAGTTTTGAGTAGAGAACAACTGTGTAGAGTTTAGATATAGTTTACTTGAAGTTTGGCGAAAACAAGTTGAGAGTGAAAAAAGAAAAGAATATATATATTCAGGTGGTTCTTGAAATAATGAGTCAGCTATCAGTAAACTGTGTAGTCAAAGTAACCATGGTCCCATTTCCCTTAACATCCTTGTCCGATAAGTGAAGCCACAAATAGTGATTGACTGTGGTCCCCGTTGCCATTTCGGGTTCGAACCAACCAGCACATGCTGGCATAAATTCTGGCGGTGATCGAGAGGAAAGACGTCTGCACTTGTAAGCAGGAGGTGGTCGTGGGTTCGAGTCCAACCCGAGCGCCTGTGTAGCTCGATCACAAGCCCTCGTACAGCATCACTGAGTATTCAGTGCTTATTAAATCACGTCAATTTTTAAGAACTATGAACTGTTCATATTTAGGAGTATCTAAAATGTTTGTATCAAACAGTCGTTTCCATAAAGTATTTCGCATGAGGAAATATACATGTACTTTTATTCCTGTACAACGACACGGACAGCTAAAATGATTTTCAAGGTAGATTTTTACTTAAATGGCTTTTCAGATTCTACGGGCTCGCAGATATCCACATGACATGCATGACGAGACCCATTATATATATGGATGGGTTAATAATAGGTGCCTGCCCACTCCACTCGTGCCGTTTAACACGATCAAAATCTGAGCGATGCGCTCAATGAAGACTTTTCAAACGACAAAGGAATCCATTTTATTTGAATGGTGTGAAAAGGAGATCTTTGCAAAGGGCTTTGGCGAATTATTGTCATAATCGATGGCAACAAACGGGCCAGGAATGTCCCACTAAACAGTGCTATGATAATATAAAATGGGAAAAAAATCTCACAATATTTTGGCTTTGACACAGAAAACAGTTAGCTTCATTTCAGTGAAAGTTGGACTTAAAATCAAAAGTAAGTGAGAAATCTGCATCTCAAAGTGGTCTCGCAAGATCTCGGTGAGATTCTGAGTCAAAAATCGAACATTTTCACCAGAAGTCAGTCAGTGTTGTCTTTAAAACTATCAGTATTCTTTGATCATAATTATGTATGGCACAAATGGGCTAATTGATAGAATTGGTTGTCTCAAAACTGATGAAAATATTAATGAGGGCTCGACAGGTCTCGGGAATATTCTCAACTCCAACACTGCCACTAAATTCGGTCAGTCCATGCCCTTACCTACCTCTGCTTTATCCAAATCCAATATGTGGGCGTCAAATATCCATTGGCCCGTAAATGATCGACGATTTTTTTCTTAGTTTCCCTATAGTTCATAGTAAGATATAGCTTGTTGGTTATCGCTCATTACTCGCCAACAAGTGTTTTTAAACACTTGTTGGCGAGTATTGAATCGAGTATTGCTTATTAAAATAAGCAATACTCGATTCATACGATACGTAGCACCAAAAACTTGACTTAGGGGTGCATACCTGCAAATAAACTCCCATAGACACTAGTGCTAAATGCCCGTACTTCAAAATTATTTTAAAAATACTCAAAACTCTCACAGGTATTCAAGCTGCACAGAAAAATGATGATCAATGTGTCATCTTTCATTTTCTTTTCAATTTATGGTGGGTTGACCATTGACTTTTCGAGATATTTTCACGCAAAGAAGACGACCCCTATTTTCCCCAAAGCGGAAAAGCAGCCATCTTGAAAAACGATCCCTCCACAACATGGCAAAATAGCGCCACTTTCGAGCCCAATAGCATCCAAAATGCTCAGAATTGGAAGCCCCAAGTCCGGGCCAGAGGTTCACTACCATATCTCTTCAATTCCCCAATTTTACGGCGCTCAGAACTCTCTAATATAGAATATTTTGAGGGTATAACTTTTATTCATGAGCTTGGCGGATCGATTTACCGGTGTGTACCCTTAGCGGTATTTACAAGTGACGGTGCACTGTCTCTTAATCTTGTTCTATGGTCGAACATATCAGAAGAGGGTTCAAACACACAAAATGACCTGACTTATTACAATTATGGCTTCACCATTCACACAATAGGCTAGATGACATTTCCTAAAATAAGACAACATCATAGCTGAAATGGCGATAGGTCAAATCGCACGATCATATGTGATGCGATCAAACTAAATGAGTCATTTTGTCGACCCTGTTCAAAACAAATTTTATTACAGATTTGAAAAGAGCACAATCTCAGCATTACTGCTATGAAAACTGCATGCTGATACTATCTTTAGTTAAAAAATTATGGAAGTCAGAACACCAAGAGTTGTGATGAAGTGATGACGTGGCGCTATTTCGGCCTGTATCTCCAAATAAAAATTCCCGACAAACAACTCATTAAGCTCGATCGCATCACATGTACCATCTTCACAAAATGACCTTGCAACATCAATAACACCGCCACGTTGTTGGTATACGTTTAACTACCGAGGTTCAATGCATAGACATTCCAGGGTGTCCTATGAATCCGTAAAAAAAGAAGATGTTTGTTCCTCCATTAGCATCGTGACCGACTTCCAAGAAGTCACCACCGGTGGAAAGGTTTAAGTTAAAACTGCAACTGGTTCATGCAACTTTCAGTCTCAAATTCTCGCCAATAATCGTTTTAAAGATACACAAAGATTAAAGGAAGTGCAAAATACCTTTCCGGAAAGTTTCTTCGCTGTACTCTGTACTGTCCAAAGCCTTCGCCAAAAGTCTTAGGCGTTTTGCACAATGAGTACGCAATGAAGAAGCCTGGCCTTCAGCTTCAAACACAATAGGGCTATTATAACCCAAAAGGCTTTTCGGATCCAGTCGTGGGTGATTCGTAATGTTTGTTGTCCAACCAAGCATGAACCAAGTAAACTCAGATCACACTGATTCAATTGCCTCCAGTTGACTGGACTCTTCGGTGAAGACTTTTAAGTAATTGGTTTTTTTTGGCAATCAAGTATAGTCACTGATCAAAATGCGCATATTCAGTGTAGTTCAGCTTCCTTAAATAAACTGCACCGCATCCAGTTTATGAAAAATTTTAGTCTGCGATGTCGCTTCGATTGACCTTGGCAGTCTAAGTATTTTGAGGTCATCCCAAATCAATTCATATGTTGCTTCAATCACGTGATATGTTTCACCACGGAGGAATAAAAACACAAAGGGATTTACGACACTCAAACTAGATTCGCAACAAGTGGGGGTACATGTACATGTACTGTTAATGGATGCTCGTGCCTGCTATATACCCATGGGCGTCGCCAGGATTTTTTTTCTAAAGGGGAGCAAAGCAACCCCCCCCCCAAAAAAAACCCCTATAATTTCCAGCATTTTCCCGATGTATCATTTGTTTCGAGGGTGGGCAGGGACATTTCCAACCCCCACACCAACCCATTAAATTAACAACAATATGACTTCCCGCCTCTTTTTTTTCTTCCTTTTCCCCCCTCCTTTTTTGTGGCTTGTCCAGGGGGCAGGGTTGTAGGACTCGATCCAGGACTCGGACTCGAGTTGGACTCGAGTCACATTTTTCTTGACTTAGACTCGACTCGAGTCACATTGGAATATAACTCGGACTCGGACTCGACCATGATGACTCGGACTCGAGCTTGGTGACTGGTGACTCGAGTCACGTATTTTCATCAAAAGAAAAAAACCATAACGTTACGTATTTGTGTGACGAACGAAGCATTCTTTTTTACGCGGAAAATCGTATCCAGGGGCCGCGCACGCACGCCTAGCGCCTGCACGATGAGCACATGGAAGGAATTAGGGATGGCGGATGATTTATTAAAGGATGGGAATTAAAAAGAAACACTTTTGGGTCTAAACAACATTTACACACACAAGGTAAACTATATATACACTGGGATTTACATAAAAGACAGAACGGACTCGAGGCTTGCATGTGACTCGAGACTCGCACTCGGACTCGGACTCGAGGCTTGTGACTCGGGACTCGGACTCGGACTCGAGGCTTGTGACTCGAGACTCAGACTCGGACTCGAGGCTTGTGACTCGAGACTCGGACTCGGACTAGAGGCTTGTGACTCGGGACTCGGACTCGACGTTGGTGACTCGACTACAACATTGTCAGGGGGCAAGCAGCCCCCCTTGCCCCCCCCCCCCCTCGCGACGCCCATGTAGTTACCCTGACTAATTGAGTCCCTCTAATTGTCTGAGTCGCCACACGAAAGCTGTGGATGTAGGCTAGCTCAAGTATATGGCTTTATATGCTGCCGATAAGTGCTTCCCTAACTCGCCATCAGGCAAACAAAGAACTAGTTTTGGCCCAAGACGTCAGTGATCAATAGCGATAGTTGCATCGTCGTGTAGCGCCCTTGAATAATTGATTTTCTACTTTCTCTCACTAACGTCTTGGTCATTTTGTAGCAATGGGGGCGCGGCCATTTTATGTAAATCAGACCGTCTGTATAGATTCGAACCAAACGGCAGTTCCCATTTGCCGCAGTAGTCGCGACGTCTCTATAGTCCGAAGTCCCATTGGTCCGAAGTCCCATTGGTCCGAAGTCCCATTGGTCCGAAGTCCCATTGGTCCGAATCCCATTGGTCCGAAGTCCCATTTGTCCGAAGTCCCATTGGTTCGAAACATAATACTGTGTAGTTCCACTTGTTCAAGTTGACTGACCCTAACCCTTATCCTATGGGGCGTCAGACCAATGGGACTTCGGACCAATGGGACGTTTATACCAATGGAACGTATAGAGCAAGGGGGCCGTCGGACCAATGGGACTTCGGACCAATGGTACTTCGGACTATAGAGACGTCCCCGTCGCGCCCTCCCCATTGAACCATTTCTCGGTCGCTGATTGGTGATGTTGATCACCGCACGTATAGCGCGAATGTTTACAACCGTTAAGCGAGCCATTGAACCATTTCTCGATCTCTGATTGGTTCCATAGGAAAGCCTAGGGAGAAAATAAAGAAAAAGTGAAACCACTGACACGAAATGGCCAAGACGTTATTGCGAGTATAGGCGTGCTGGTCTAAGTTGTTGTGCCATTAGAGGGCGCACTATGTACGATCCACTATCGATCACTAGCGTCTTGAGCCAAGATTAACAAAGAACATGCCCCAGGAATGTTTGGATATACACTTGTTAAAGAAATGTAATAAATAAATAAAATAGAACCCGCCACTCCCGGAACATTTTCTTTGTTTGCCTGATGCCGAGTTACGGAAGCAATATGCCTTGTCGGCAGCAATGCCATACCTGAGGTACACTCGCCGTCCCCGCCGCTTTCTTGTTGTGGAGTGCTGTGGTCCAGTGGTTACGGTGTTTGACCTGTGTGCCGTGGTACATGGGTTCGAATCCTGACCGTGGGAACATTGTACTTGTGCTCTTGAGCAAGACACTTTACCATTATTGCTCCGTCCTTCGGATGGGACGTAAAGCCGCAGGTCCCGCGTGTTGTGTAATGCACGTTAAATAACCCAGTAACACTTATCGCCATAAGAGAAAGGGAAGTTGCCCCGGTGTTTCTGGCAGTGGCTGCAATATGCGCCGCAGCACCTTGTCGACTTTTATAAAGGTGCCACATAATGGGTCTCACATCTTTCTCGTGAACCTCATTTACCTGTCTTTAAAAATAGACATAATTACCAGCGCCTTGAGTATCTAATTATTGGTAGAGCATGGGTCATATAAGACTCCGGTATTATAAATGTCGATCCGGGTGGTTTACTGCAGTCAGATATAATTTCATCTTGGGCTCGAAATCGTAGCAGTTGGAGGAAGCTTGTGTGCTATAATGTACAAAATGTTTATGTTCATGTGAATACTATGTACATGTACATGCATTTACGATTACATGTACATGATGTATTCGGGGCAGCGCAAGTATCATGAAAGCATCCGTCCGACGACTTCAGTTTTCAGTTTTCGAAATGCGGAGGAACCAATAGCTCTGGATGGCAAGACAAAGTTTTGTCAAACATAAAACGCAAGGTTTTCTGTTTTGATCATGTGTTTCTGGATTTTCACGCTATTATATTTCTTATTTTGCCAATTTCGCGCGAAAACTTGTTTGAAACTGAAATTGGCCTTCCACATAATTTTATCCGGCGGATTTTTCATTTACAATCGATAAACTTACATGAATCAACTTTGGATGACAAGAAGAAATAACTTTCATGAGAAATTCAATAGGCCTAAATTTCACAACACACATTTTTGTCAAGTCCCAAACATTTTGTTTTCGAAAGTGTTTTAAACTTGGAAATGTTTCGTTGTGGAAGATAAGATCAAATAAACGCTACAGAAACATCATTTTGTTCAAGAATATTGAATTTCTTATATGTTACTAAATCTCAGTCAAATTGATTGAAATCTATCAATAAAAACGATGCTTCAAATTACGATCAAGGCGCGCGAAAACAGTCAATTATTCTACCAGGGGCAGTTCCACCAATTTTGTTGTTCCAAGAATTAAAGGGCAAGAGTGCACTTAATTGTTTTATACCGGAATTCATCAATGGAATTTACTTCCAAACAGCATCAAATGTTCCAACAATCTTCCTCATTTTAAAAGGGCAGTGAAAGAACATCTCTCTTCTTATTAATTTTGTTTTTTAAGCAGCTGAGATTGTTGTGATTTCTGTGATTTTTTTCTTTAAATTATTTTTCTGTTGCTAGATCCAGTGCAATTTATTTTTTGAACTTTTTTATTTGTACTTGTACTTGTATGTGTGTTTTTAAGGACCCCGATGGAATTAAGCCGTCTTATAAACAGCTTTTCGGGTTATCCTTGGCTTTGTATTTACATGAAATGCGTTCGTTTTTTATACCATTGTATGTTTGTTTGTTTTTGCCAAAATAAATAAATAAATAAATAAATTCCGTTGCTAAAGCCGTTGTTAAGCACGAATCTTGCGCACGCGCACTTTGGTAATGAACACCATGAACATACATGGACATGAACTCCCAGCACTGTTTAATATATTGTCACAAACATGAACTCTGCGCCTGCAATCGCTGGTTGGTATGGGAACGAGACGGGCAAAGTCTGGTTTACGCCACTACAATCAAATCCAGAATCCAGTCTGAACCGGTTATGTATACGCAGGGTGATCGTTTTAGCCGATTTTCGGCTAACTTTGACAGAATTTTTGTTAAAAAACGAGTTTGACAGAAAATTTGACAGAATGGATTTTTTTTGGGCAGATTTCTGGCAGAATTCTGCAAAAATGGTTATTTGACAGAAAAAACAGCAAATTTGAACAAAAAAGTGTACCTTTATTTAAAAAAAAAAATCAATCCTTTCAAACAAACCCTTGCATAATGGGACAGGTTGGCTAGTCTAGGTTCTGAGGTTTTTGATCCGCGTTTTGCCCGAAATTTTCCAATACTTTCACAACATTATTATGTGACTAGATTGTTTATGTAATATGAATCTTAATTAGAGCAATACTACCAATCTGCATGTGATTTTAAATGTTTATAGTGTATTTCGATTAATTCTGGGGAATTTGGCAGATTTTTAATAAATCTGACAGATTTTTGATGTGCATTTAGCAGAATTTGGCTCTGACCTTACGGTCACCCTGGGTATACGGCACTGGCAAAGCATTCCAACAATAACCACTTGAATACCAGGCCTATTTCCTCAACAGCTAATTCTTCTCAGACAAATGGTAACTGCCGGAAACAAAAATTCGCATTCATCACATTCCCATT